AATTGGAAGAGAAATGCACATTTCCATCTTTACTTACTTGCACATGAACAAATCTACACACTTTGAAGAAACAATCAAGAGCTCAGGTCAAAATGTGAATCAACAAGGCCCCAAAATGACAAAACGTTTCGAGGATACTCAACAAACTCGCATTATCATAATCATCATCATCATCATCATCATACTAAAGCCAACAAATTGGGCGACAAAATGCAGCTATTATTCTAATAAACCCGCAAGCTATCTACAATTACTTAGAGCACATAAAATTAGCACCAAATCCCAAGTTTTTCTAGCAATCAACGATCAAATCAATCCATCAGCATGAAGATTTCGCCTGAAAAACTAACCGGGAAGTGCAGGCATCGCACACGACGCTACAGGCTTGGGGGATTTCTCGACCTCAACAAGACACATCCTGCAATTTCCAGCAATCGACAGTCGGGAATGATAACAAAACCTCGGGATATCAACTCCGGCGACCTCACAGGCCTGAAGAACGGTGAATCCTTTAGGCACCTTGACCGCGTAACCATCGACGAAAACCTCGATCGCATCCTCCGGATTCGAGAAATGGACTCGCGCCCCACCCACAGGGCTCCTCTGAGGGAGAATCTGATTCGGCGGCGGCTCGGGCTGAGAAGCAGCGGCGGCTTCAGGAGATTGGAGCTCCGGTTTGGATACGATTGTTCGGAGGAAGAGATTAGAGGTTTGCGATTGAAGAAGACGAGAAGCTGGTCGAATTGTTCGAGAAGCTAAGATTCCTAAACCCATGGCGTTTGTTGGATCTGTTGTGTCTTCAACTTCTCGATCTTGTTGTTTTCTCTCTGTGAAGCATTTGTGAGAGAAGGAGAGAGAGACACGAGAATCAGTGAAATTTTGGGCTTTATGGGCTTGATATTAGGCCAAATATTAAAACCCTGAATTAAGTGTATGGTTTTCTTCTGTAATTTTGGAATGCGAGAAAGGATATTTTGGTCATTGTTTAGTAGTACAGTGACACTCCTGACACTTCTTCTTCTTCATCTTCCCCATAAAAATAGGGTTTGTTCTTCTTCTTCTCACAGATTTCTGAAAACCTTGCCAAGTTTCGATCACTGAAACACCAAAATCGATGGTTGATTCCAGCGACTCCAACACGGACTGCTTCGAAATCAGACACCGCAAGAGCAAAACCATGAAGAGGAAGCATGACAATGACGACGACGGCGAAGACATTTCCGGTACGAAGGCAATGCTCAGGAGGAGAAAGCGACCGAAGAAGACGATGATGTCATTTGTATCTTCTCCTCAGTCTCCGAAGATGATCTGGACTAAGAGCAACGAACTTGAGATTGTTAGGGTTTGTGATTTCTCTGCTTATTCCCTCTTCTTTTTTTTTTGGATTTCCTGAAGAGCAATGAGCTCGAGATTGTTAGGCTTTGTGATTTATCTGCTCATTCTCTATTTTTTTCTTTTTTAGGGTTTTTTTTTCTTTTTATAACATTTTTAGTAATTTTGTGTGGAAAAGGGAATTGTGGACTATGAAAAGGAAAAGGGACTGAGCTACGGATCTGATTCGGATGCCTTTTACGGATATGTGAAAGATCTGATAGACGCGGATTTCTCGAAACAACAGCTCATGAATAAGGTCAGGAAGATGAAGAAGAGGTTTACTGATAACCATGGAAGATCCAAGAATGTGAAGCGTTCGTTTGCTAATTCCGATGAAGAAGAACTGTTCGAATTCTCGACGATCATTTGGGGAAAGAAGAACGAAACCGAAAGTGCTTCTAACGAAAACATGCAGGACCAAGCCTCAAAGGTATCGTGAGTGGGTGAGACTAGTAAGTGAGTGTTTGTTCTGTTTCTTACTAATCTCCTCTTTTGTAATGATCGATCTTTTTGTGTTCTTGTTTTGGTTAAGGATGTGTCGCCTTGTGCTGAGAATGATGCTGAATCTGGCAAGAAGAATGATACAGAATGTGCTTCTAACGAGAACATGCAGGACCAAGTCCCAAAGGTATAGTGAGACTAGTCAGTGATTGTTTGTTCGGTTTCTTACTAATCTCCTTATGTGTAATGATCGATCTTTTAATGTTCTTGTTTTGGTTGTGTAATGATCGATCTTTTTATGTTCTTGTTTTGGTTAAGGATGTGCCGCCTTGTGCTGTGAATGAAACTGAAGGTGCTTCTAACGAGAATATGCAGGACCAAGTCCCCAAGGTATAGTGACTTGTGTGTTTGTTTTTTTTGGGTCTGTTTCTTACCAATCTCCTTATGTGTAATGATGAATCTTTTAATGTTCTTGTTTCGGTTAAGGATGTGCACCCTTGTGCGGAGAATGGAACAGAATGTGGCAAGAAGAATGAAACAGAAGGTGCTTCTAACGAGAACATGCAAGACCAAGTCCCAAAGGTATAGTGTGAGACTTGTTTGTGCTGTTTCTTTCCAATCTACTTAGTAAAGGTGGATTCTTTATAGGTTCTTGTTTTGTTTAAGGATGTGCTTCCTTGTGCTGGGAATGAGCAGGGGAGTCATACGAGGATGGAGAATGAGAAGAGGAGTGTGGATGATGACATCTCTGGTCTGCAAGACGCGTTTGAGACAATGGCGTTTTTCAAAGCTCTAAGTGAAAACCAACAGAGGCTTCTGCGTCGGGGTTTGAGGAACATTCCAGCTCAAAGGAGGATTGAGCTAACCAATGAATGGAAGGAATTGCTTGAGGAGGAGATGAAACTGAGCATCAAGAAAATGGCTTTCTCCGTGAAGCTAGCGACCGCTGGAGTTTCTGCTTAAATCTAAGAAGAAGGGGAAAAACACGTTCTGCTTTTGGAATGACTTGAACTGTTTTTCTCCTAGCTACTTACTACTAATGGTTTTTTTTGTTGTGTTTAAATCGTCTTGTTGAACGGTTAAGTAGCCTATGTTAAAAAGGCTCTTCGGCTTCTTTTGTGTTAGGTGTTGACTACTAAAAAACTCTGGTAACCTAAGATGTAATCAGATTAACGATCTTTTGCTTGTTATATATATTTGCACTACTAGTTAATAAGGTTTTAACTTTTAAGTAAGTAACTAGTCTGTCTATGATTCCCCTCACTGCAACCTCCTAAAAGAAAAAACAGGATTAGGAGAATGAATTAAAAAGTTTGCAGATTCTTGAGTTTCTAAAATCTGAAAGACATAATATCTTCTACTAACCCAAAGGGTCCACGTGTATGTTGATTACTGAAACTCAGCTACTTTGTCATTGAAATGCGTTATTACAACTCCTGGGCTTTAGAGATCTGAAAGACACTATCTTTCCTCTGGTTCTTGCTCTGTTCTTAGTGTTTTTTGTAATGAGCATCCTTCTGTATCGCAAATTTTCAAATTGTTTGCAATCTATAAAGATTGTTAAATGTTTTGATAGCATTTCTAAGCTCCCAATGCATCTTTACTTAGTACTCACATCTACTAAATACACACAAAATTTCAACAAACATTTGACCTCAGTCTATAGCAAAGATGAAGATTATGAATAGAATTAGAAACACATCAAACCGAACCGGTAGGATTAAAACTGCTTAAGGGTTCACTTTGTTGTTCTGCAAATTCCCAATGAAAATATAAAATCTATATTTAAATATAAATATCAATTTTGACTCCCATTTGACTGTCTTCATGGTAATCATCATATATATTATAAGCAAAGTAAAAATTTTGTTTTAAGCTCTCTCATTGAATCTCAGAGTGGTTAATTACCATTTACCCCTCCTTAAAATTATTTTTAATTTAAAAACAAAAAAAATTGTTTACAACTAAAATCACGATTATAATATAGGTTGTAATAATATTAAATCAAATAAAAATATATGATTTTATCTCAATCTGATCAAAATCTACGATTTTATCAAATCAAAAATCACGATTTTATAACTAAAATCAAGATTTTTTTTTAAAAAAAATATTAAAAATCGAAAATTATAATATATAATTATGTTACTCCAAAAATCTTAAAGTAAATCTTACTTAATCGATACTTAGATATTATTTTAAAAAAAAAATATATATTTATATGAATTATAAAAAAACATTAAAAAATGAAAAATCATCATATATAGTTATGTTACTCCCTTAATTTTTAAGTAAGTCTTGATAAATACTTAGATATTGTTTTTTAATATAAAAAAATATATGAATTATCCAATTTGCATAATTTTAAAGATTTTTCAACCAATTTTTTTTCTTCACTTACATGGTTGTAATGTTTAGCGATCATGTAAGCTATATATTTCGTGTGTTTCACATTAGTGATCTTGTGACTTCTTAAAAATAGTTTTTGTGCTTTCTAATTTTCTATTCGGTTGTTATTTTTGTTTTATATTTGTTTCTGTTAGCTCATGTAGATCTACATTCTTTTATATATATTAGCTGATACCTTGTGTCTTCCTTTTATAGCTCTTTCAGAAATATATTTTGTTCTGATGTATATTAGAAGTTGGATTATATTTATATTTTATAAATTCTTCTTATTAATAATAGCTTATGATGTTTTTTTTCTGTTTAGGAGGTGGTGTTTTAGCCGGACTTTCTTGATCGTTGATTGTTTAGTTTACTGCTATACCGAAGGATAACATTTTATTTTCTTTTTTGTGCTTTAGGTTTAGATTTGTGATTTTTTATTATCTATCATATTTATATTTTATATATTAGCCAGTTTTGGTGCACTTTTCTTTCTCTTTTATTAGTTTGGGCTGAGTCGAGCCTTTTTTTATTTATTTATTGATTCTTATCTGTTTTAAGTTTTGATTGTTTTTGTTTTTTCTTTCTTAGGTGCTCACGTTTTATTGTTTCATCTTGCGATGCAACATATTTCATTTGCTGGTGATGAAGACATAGATTATAGTCATGAACCGAACCAGTTCTCAGAGTCAGATATGAGCGTTTTATATGTTTTAAAAAATTATTACAAAAAGATCATGTATTCTGTTTTGTGGTGTATGCTCTTGGTGACGATTCAAAATGGTCTATAGGACATACAGTGTCGAAATCCCTCATGGCAATGAACGTGAGTTCACCTGGTTCTTGTGAAGGTTGCCAAGCTGATTGAACTTTTGGAAGGTACATGAAACTTTAAAAGAACACATACAAAAACACAGGTTTAATCATCTGATTATGGATTATTACTTGATCTGATGAATCCTAAATTTATAACAGTTCAAAAGAAGCTTCGGTGAACAAGGTGCAGAATATGGTGGTCTGTGTTTTATCCAAGACCCACATGTCGTTGCAGAGAACAAAAGAAAACAAGCTAACAAGGAATTTAGTTCCAGCAAAAATGTTAGTCCATTTGGCATATTCTTACTCTCAAAGTTAGTTCTATTGATAATAATGATGATACTTGAACAAAATTACTATTTTTTATTCGAACAATACTTTATTTGAATGGGCTTTGTGTGTGTTTTGTCTCTTATGTCCAGTGTTGGGATATTTTTTTATATTAGTTTCTGGTTCTTTTCTTTTACTTATGGGCAAAGACATGAGAAAAAAGTAACTATTTGTACTTTGATCTTTTGCACGTTTCTCCGACTGAAATCTTTTTCGTGTGGAGTGCTTTCATCTCATGTGTTTCCAGTTGAGTTTGAAGTGTTAATTATAAAATGTTGTTTTTGGATCAGAGTAAACCTTCTCTTGCTTAAGTTTCACTAAAAATGTAAAATTTATGTTTAAGTAGCTAAAACTCTAAGTTTTCTTAAGTTTGTATGTTGGAAGGATTCAATTCCATCTAATTTTGTATTTTCTTTATTTTTTAAAATTATTTAATATGGTAACAAATAAATATTCTAACACAACAATGTGAAAGAAATCGATGATAAATTATATACAAAAATCTGCAAATATTGGGACCGTGAAAATGTCACAACTGTTTCGTGGAGACTCCATTTTACTTAAAGTCTTATTTTGATATTTGTTTAATTTTTGATATTTTTGTTATTAGCATAATTAAGAAATTTTGAGAATTTCTTTTTTTGGTATATATGTCTAAGCTCTTTTTTAAAGTTGATTACCCCGAAACAGTTTTAATTGTTCGAAAGGAGCAAGTTACAAAAGTTAATGCAGTTTTTTTATCTAACAATAAATATAACACACTTTTAAGGAGAGTTTTAAGTTTGAAATGTGTATTTATCTTTTTTCTCAACTTTAAAAGATATAAAGTCATAAAAAGTATGAAGAGTACGTAATATGAAAAAAAATCATAAAGAGAAAAATAATAAACCGTAAAAAAAAAGACGAAGAAGACGAATGTGTTAAATAATAAAAAAAGATGTGAATGATAAATTTGAATAAGAAATATGAGAAGAAGAAAAAAAAAATGAAGAATAAGACATGAAAAAAAAACAAGAAAACATATGGACAAAAGAAGAATAAGGAAAAAAATGATGAAGAAGAAAGAAAGAAATTAATACAGAGAAAAAAATAGGAAACAAAAAACTAGAATACATCTTAATTAAATTAGTTTGTGGACTATTTTTTAAGTAATTAATTTGGAATTTTGTTTATTTTTTAGTTAATTTTATTTTGATTTTTTATGTTTTATATAGTTGTTTTAATTATTTTCAATTTATACCATAAATTTTTATTTTTTTATTTTTAAAATCTTTTGGTCCGCGCAAGTTGCGGGCTAAATACCTAGTAATTCTATAATTACAATAGAATTCGCTTGTCTTCATGGTAATAATAATTCAGATGGTGATTCCGATTGCGACGAGTTTCTGGGTGAATTTCTCAAGTTTCTACTTGCTGGGTCTGTGGCGGCGAACAGAAACGCCAGGTTCAGGGCTTGCCAGATAATCTCTGAGGTATAAGAGGATTAGGGTTCCTTCTCTTCAATTTTGGAGTTTAATTCATTTGTTTGAGCGTAGTTATGTTGAGTATTGTTCATAGTCTTACAAACTTTAGAAGTGGGGAATCGGATAGCTTTATAGCCTTTCAATTGCTTTTTTTGGGCAGAATTGGATTTGAGGCTTTGTTAATGTGATGATTCCTTTAGATGTTTTGTATATGGGACACACTAAGAATGCTGACTGTTACACAGGCAAAGGGTTCTGATGCTGCTACTGCGATGGGAGCCTAGGCAGCAGTTTGTGCTGCTGAAGCTTCAGATGCTAATGATGTGTTGGAAAGAACTTTACCTGCAACAATTTCTGATTATGTTGCTCTAGTTAAAGCTCATATAGAAGCTGGTGAGTCCAAATATTCTCTTTAATACCAAAACTTAGTTGTTTTTGTTTGAGAGATGCCATCCTCTTACATATAATTTTCAGGACCGAATTATCACTTTGCTTAAAGGCACCTATTATTGTTGGGCACAATGCTTGATTTCTCTGATGCTATGCTCCACAAAACTGCAAGTTCATTTGTACAGGAGCTGCTCCACAGACCTTTTGAGCAAGAGTTAGCCGAAGATGGGAACAGTATTGTGATTGGCGATGGTTTAAACCTTGGTGGTGATAAAGATTGGGCTGATGCAGTGTCCAAATTAGCTAAGAAAGTTCATGCCGTCCCTGGAGAATATGAATAAATTATACTTGTTGTTGTTGAAGAACTAGCGAGACCCTGTAGGGAAAGGACTGCGAATTTCCTGCAGTGGATGCACATGCTTTCTCTGACAAGTCTTCTCATGGAAAATGGAAATCTTTACATTCACTGCAAGGGAAGGCTATTGAACCAGAAGAGATACTGCATGCTTTGTTGCTTCCAGGGGTATATTTTCTACTCTTCTCTGTTATTATTTTCCCTTGAATTTTGACTTTGAAATTATCTGGATATCATAAATCTTGAGACTTTGACTTCTTCTTACTTGTAGTTGTTAATTTTCCATTCAATATGCCAATATTCCATATGCCTTTTTTTTTTTCATGGTCCTGCTTTCTTTGGCTATGTACAAACAAACACTCTTCCTGATACGATTCATGTAACGCAGGCAAAACACACTCACTTGGATGATGCTATAAAGTGCCTCGGTCTTTTTGGTTTGTTAGAAAAGAAGCCTAGCGAAGAGCTAGTAAGGCAGCTACGGATAGCTTTTTGTAGAAGCCCTCCTCCGATTAGTATTATGGCTTCCAAGGCACTAGTGGATCTTGGGATGTGGCATAGCCCAACAGAAGTTGACAAGGCAATGGGACAAGATCTCTTGTCACAATTTGAGGATGAGAGCATTGATTTTGTACCTGTCGACTTGTCAAATGCTGAAGAAGATTTGAACTTAAAGATGCTCGATCTCTTGTATGCTGGACTTGAAAGTGATGACTGGAGAGCATACACAGAGAGCAGTGAAGATGAGTCTGTTAAAGCAACTGTCGGGGAGGGGTTTGCGAAACTTCTTCTTCTTCTAGGAGAGAAGTACCCAAACTTGCCTGCATCGTTTTATCCTTTTGTTCTGGGCAAGCTGATTGCATTATACTTCAGCGAGGAGTCAAAAGAACAACTGAGGTATAGAGATTCTGTTTCTTTCGATTGGTAACTTTTGTCATCAAAATATCTACTAATGATTTTCTCTGCGTAATTATTGTCCAGGTTCAAACAGTGTTTATCTGTCTTCTTTGAGCACTATGCTTCTCTCTCGGAAAAGCATAAGGTAACGAAAACCATGATGTCATTAAGAGCAAGAGGTTTCATGGTGTGTTTGTTTAGTTTGTATAGCTGAACTATTTGTCATGTGATATAGGGATATGTGTCAAAGGCTTTTGTTCCTCTCATACGCTCATTGTGGCCTGGGATTGGTGGAATCTCCAAAAACTCTTCATATGTTGTATCAAATCAACGTAAGCGAGCAGTCCAAGCATCCAGATTTCTCCTGCAGATGATGCAAACCCCACTATACAAATCACCAGACTCACCAGAAGATTCTGTCCAGCCTCCACTAGACCGTACGGAAGAAGGGTTAGCCATACGCATAGCCGTCGAGGTTAGTTGCATTCCTTTGGCGTCTGTATCAAGGAAAGGATAATAGAGTGAAGATTCTCTAGTCAATTGATGCGATAATATAGAGTAGTTGTAACCTTCAGAATCTCAATTCCCTTTATAGTTTATAATTGGCTATTAATATTTTTTCCCATAGATGGTAAGCTTCAAGGCTAAGAAGACTGCTTCTGAGAAGGCATACGTTGCAGCACTATCCAAAATACTTGTGCTACTCCATCTGAAACCATCAGAGCAAAATGTGATAAAGTTGATGAGAAAGCTTTTAACCCGAGTCGCGGAATCTGTATGCTCAGAGAAGGATCTTCTTAAGGAAGTGAAACTGGTGCTTGAACATCTAAAATCTTTGGACGCTTGTCCAAGCGAGGACCTTTCACAAGATGAAGCAAATTCCATCTTTGGTACATTGATCTTTTGCCTTTTACATTACAGTTTGATTATATTCGTTTAGAGTCTCTCTTTTGTCCGTTGCTTTGAAGAATTTGATTGTTTCTAATGGCTAATTACAGAAACACTAGGAGTAAGTTACGACCTGGATATCACTGCGCTGCAACAGTGCCACAGACACCTGCTCCTTGCTCAACAAGAGTACCAGCTCGATCAAGAAGACGAGTAAGGATTGAAGAAGCATCCTCTGATGAAGATGATGAAGCTGTAGCATCTCCTCCACCTTCTGCTGGTAATACTTTGATGACCCGATCACACCGGGCAAGTAAAGCTGCTGCCATAGCCAAAATAATGGCAAGCAAAGTGAAAATGAGCGATGCAGATGAGGATATTGAGGAGGAAGGAGAAGAAAGTTCGTCTGATGTTAGAGCAGAGGATTCAGATGAATCTGATGAATAAATAGATATAGAGAATGAGTTAGTGACTAGTTCTGTTGTTTGTATGTTTGCTAACAAAGCATATGTTATGAGTTTGTTACCTTTTCTTCTGCCCAATGTTCGTTGTTTGTTATGTGCGAGTTTCGGTTATGTTTGCTATTTAACATCTTGGATTTGGGAAAAATGAGAAAATACAAAAACTAAAAACTTGTAAGGAAGCATAGTATGATCAATGATATGGAATAATGTTGTCACACTTGATTATTTGATTAGTGTCGTGTCATTATCGTAATCCTTTGTGCGTGCTTAGCATAGTTAGTATGCTAATTAATACTTGATGTAAATACCTTTTCACTAATTAATACTTGATGTAAGTGATGTTTAAGGTTTTTGTAGATTAAAATTCGTTTAATTTTTTTTTTCATACTAAAACATCATTTATTATCTATTTAAATTCAATTCTTCAACCAATAAAAAACAATCTACAGTAAATATCCAAAATTATTAGATTTTGTATTGAAAACTAAAAATATCACTTATTTGAAAACAAAAAAAACCCTTAAAACATTATGCAGTTAAAAAAAGAGAGAGTAGGAATTAACCTACGTGATATGCATAATTATAATATCTTAAATATTATTTTAGAAATTAATTTCAAAATTTGGTTAGTAAAATTTATTGATATATAGAAATATGCATATATAAACATACACAATTAAATTTTACATCTATTGAATAGAAATTTGATTTACTATTGGCTAATGAATTTTATGATATCTTTAACTAATAACAATAAACAATATGATAAAGTGGAATAAGCTATTTATTTAACCCGTTGACAGTAAAACAAAATATTATTCAGGCTAACTCACAAAAATTTATAATATCATAATTATCAAATCTAATTTGTACCGCTTAATAAATGTGTTTTATGATTAGTCTACAAACTATAAAAATATTTAATTTTATCATGTTTAATTATTTATGAAAATAGTATAATATTTTCCAGGTTTGATATTGTTGTGAATCAAAACTAAAGAAAGCAATAATCTAAGAGAAAGAAATCGCAAATTCATGCAAACATCCGTTTAGAGTTTTTTTTATCAATTATGTGAATGAAAAATTACAAACCCTAAGCCTTGTATTTATAACCCAAAAACACGACTCCAAACCCACTCGACAAAGAAAAACCTAAATCAAACTCAATAAAGAAACCGTAGCATGGGAGGAGGGGAGGGGGGTAAATCAAAAATTAGAATCATAATTCGTTCATATTAGACTAACCTTAACTTGTTTACTTAACCTGTTTTGTATTGAATTAAAATATAACCTTAAAAATCAGTTTTCTCGTGTCAAATTTTTGAAAAAAAAATAGTTTTTAAAAATCAGTTTTATATATAATCAAGTGAAATATAATAAATTATATTAAAAAATATATTTTATCACTTTTTTACTATCATAGTTTTTTATCTAGGATTTTTACATTTTTAAATGAGAAAAAATTATTTTCTCACACTTTTATAATTGACTATAATATATGATATCATTTGAAAAAAAAATATAAAAGATATCATATTTTTATTCAGAAATAAAGTAGTAAATATCTATTATATTAAAACATAAACATTTTTTGTGTCTAAACAAATTTCATTAATTTAAGACTATTCTGGTTAACTCTTATTCCTGTTTTGTTATTTTTTTGTCAAAGAAATATTTTAATTTGATTTATCTGTTTTTTAATTTCTAAAATATAATAAAATAATATATTTGAATTTTTTATTTAACTATAATTTCAAAAATTCAAATTTAGTTTTAATTAATTTAGATTTTCTTAAATATAAGTTGGATTAATCATCAAAATTACAAAAATCAGTTGTTATTATTTTTATAAAAATAGTAGATAGGATACTTGTTTATGTTATATTTAAATATTTAAATTTTAATAATATTCTCATAATTTAAAATCATAATAAGCGGTATACTATTATATGCTTTTTCGTAATCAATTTATTAAAAAAATTAAATAGTTAAAAATTGAAAAAAATATTTATATTATTAAGTAATATGAACGGCGAGACTATATTTATATTTTAATAATTATGGTCTTTTTGCATTAATAGAATGGACGGGTTAAAATTATGTTTTTATAATTATGGTCAAATTTATTAAAAAAAATTTAAAATATAAATTTTATCTAAAAACAAAAATAAATCAATGTTACTTATTAGAAAATGTTATATATAAAAACATAAATTACATTAAAAAATTAGATTAAAAAAAAATTCTCGTGCGAATGCATGGATAGAATCTAGTACTTTATTAAATGAGAAACAAAAATTTTCTATATTTTTTCAATAGTTTGGAAAGATAATTATATTTTTTTCTAATTTAATTTTTTTTTATTATTTGTAATGGTATTTTATGTAATAATTTTAAAAATAAAGTTATTTTTTCAAATACCTACTTTATTTATAAAATAATTTAGAGATAGCAAAACAAGAAAGTTTAAATATTAACACAACAACGAGAAATATATAAATCGACTACAATAATGGTTAATAAGACCATCTTTTCCACATCTATTTTATGCTCAAATATCATCATTTTTGTGGATATGAAACATTGAAACTTCTTCAGCAGTCTCTGAATGATTGGTGTAGAATTGCAGTGTCACATTAAATATCAGTATTGACTTATTGGTCAATTCTGGTTCAGTGTATTTCTGTTCGGTATGGATTGGTTTAACCGGATAATTAAGTGGATAAAGAAGTGTGGGGTGCTCTTCATTTTTATGGTCTATATCATTTCGTGGAATTAACACTTGTTCAGCAATTTCCGAATTATTGGTGTAGATCACATTGTCGTCATTGAATTGTTGGTGTTCCTCTTTCTCTTGCTCATTTATTCAAAGCAGTGAGTTTGTTTTCTGGTTTCTTTCTGAAAGTTTGAGCAAAGATGGGAAACTTTTTATCACCACAGTTATCATTTTTTGAATGTAACCAACCGTTGAATCAAGCCTGTGGCTGCTTATTTGGTGCTGGAAATTACATTCACATGATGGAGGCTAACCTTGAGGCGCTGGAGAATACTTTGCAACAACTTGTAGAAAGGCGAGATGATCTGTTAAGAAGAGTTGTCATAGAAGAAGATAAAGGTTTGCAGCGGCTTGCTCAAGTTCAAGGATGGATTTCAAGGGTAGAAAGAATTGAGTTCCAGGTCAGTGATGTTTTTAAGGCTAAACCAACTGAAACTGGAAGATTGTGTCTTTTTAGATATTGTTCTAAAAAGTGCATACCAAGCTGCAAGTATGGTAAAGTTGTATCGAAGAAGTTGGAAGAAGTTAAAATACTTCTATCTGAAGAAGCTTTAATTAAAGAGGTGGCGGGGAAAGCTCCTGTACCAAAGGTGGGGAAGAAACATATCCAAACCACAGTTGGTCTAGAGTCAATGGTTGAAAAAGCATGGAACAGCCTCATGGACGTTGAACGAAGAATTTTAGGTCTTTATGGTATGGGAGGAGTAGGGAAAACCACCCTCTTAGCCCGTATTAACAACAAATTCGTGGATGAATTTGATGTTGTGATATGGGTTGTGGTCTCTAAAGATCTGCAAAATGAGGGCATTCAGAATCAGATTCTTGGAAGATTAGGTCTTGACGAGAAACGGAAAGGAGAAACAGAGAAAGCCTCTTCCATATACCATATCCTTAGCAAAAAGAAATTTGTGTTGTTACTAGACGATCTATGGAGCGAGGTTGATCTGAACAAGATCGGAGTTCCACCTCCAACTCGAGATAATGGATCGAAGATAGTTTTCACGACTCGTTCTAAAGAAGTTTGCAGAGACATGGGAGCTGACGATGAGATGAAGGTTGATTGTTTGTCATGGGATGAAGCGTGGGAACTGTTTCGAAACACTGTTGGAGAAGCCACATTGAAACGCCATGAGGAAATTGCAGAACTTGCAAGGGAAATTGCTAAGAAATGTTGTGGCTTGCCACTTGCACTCAATGTTATTGGCAGAGCCATGGCATATAAAGAAGGTGTACACGAATGGCGTTATGCACTTGAAGTTCTCAACTTGTCTAGCCACAAATTTAAGGGTATGGACGATAAGATACTTCCAATTCTGAAGTTTAGTTATGATGATTTAAAGGATCAAAACGTCAGATCGTGCTTCCTATATTGTTCCTTGTTCCCGGAGGATTATGAAATTGAGAAAGAGCGGTTGATAGAATATTGGATAGGCGAAGGATTTATAAATGGAAACAGAGGTGAAGATGGGAGTAACAACCAAGGTCATGCTATAATTGGTTCGTTAGTTCGTGCGCATCTATTGATGGATGTTGACCGTGATGCATACTTAGCAGAGAAGGTGAAAATGCATGATGTTTTACGCGAGATGGCTCTTTGGATAGGAAAAGAGGAAGAAACAGTTTGTGTCAAATCTGGTGCGAAATTACGCCATATTCCAAATGACATCATAAACTGGAAAGTTGCGAGAAGGATATCGTTGATGAGTAATCAAATTGAAGAGATATCTTGCTCTCCCAAGTGCCCCAACCTCTCGACGTTATTTCTCGGTGATAACAAGTTGAAGGTTATTTCAGGTGAATTCTTTCGGTTTATGCCAGCCCTTGCCGTCTTGGATCTTTCTCAAAATTATGATCTTTGTGCATTGCCGGAAGAAATTTGCAGCTTGAGTTCCTTGCAATACCTCAATTTATCATCGACGAGGATAGAATCGTTACCAGTTGGTTTGAAGGGGTTGAGGAAACTAATAAGCTTGGACCTGGAGAGTACTCGTAAACTTAGAAGCATTGGTGGGATAGGAACAAGCTTACCAAATCTTCAAGTGTTGAAACTAATTGGTTCCTGTGTCTATATTGATGCAGGATTAATGGAAGAGCTACAACTCTTAGAGCACTTGAAGATTTTAACAGCGAACGTAAATGATGCTTTGATTTTGGAAAGTATCCAAAAAGTGGAGCGATTGGCGAGCAGTCTTCGAGTTCTATTCCTAGATAATATCTCAGCAGAGGTTGTAGTATTAAACACGGTAGCTCTGCGTGGTCTTCAAAGCCTTGTGATTTGGTATTGCAAAATCTCAGAGATAAAGACAGAATGGGAAAGCAAAGAAAGAGAAGAGATTCTCTGTACAAGTTCTCAAGGCTTCAAGCACCTCTCCGATGTTCGTATACGCCATTCGGAAGGTCCAAAGGACTTGACGTGGCTGTTGTTCGCTCAGAATCTCAGGTCACTATTTGTGGATAATTCAAAAAGCATAGAAGAGATAATAAATAGGGAGAAAGGAATGAGTATTAGCAATGTGCTTCCACATCTGTCGGTTCCCTTTCGGAAGCTTGAACACCTTCGTCTATTCAAATTGGATGAATTAAGGAGCATTTGCTCGAATTCTCTGGTTCTTCCAAACCTGAGAGAATTTAAAGTCTACTACTGTCCAAAGCTTACCAAAGCTGCCACTGAGTTTCCTGAGACACGAGCAGCAATAATAAGAAAACGGATCCGCAAATTTGTTAGAGAGGGACGCAATGCTGGAGGTACTGCGGGGTCATCTGCACAAGGCACAACAGAGTATGAAGGTGCGCGCCGATGACCATCGCAGGGATGTGAAGTTCCAAGTGGGAGAGTGGGTATATTTGAAGATGAGGCCTTACAGAAGGAAGTCGCTGGCACGGAGAGCAAACGAAAAACTCTCAGCTCGGTTCTATGGGCCTTTCGAGGTGGAGGCTCGAGTTGGAGAGGTCGCCTACCGCCTGAAGTTACCAGCTGAGGCTCGCATACATCCCACATTTCACGTTTCACAGCTGAAGAGGGCAGTGGGAGAAAGTATGGTGGCTACTCCCCTCCCACCGCAACTGACAGAGGAGGGGGTGCTCGAAGCTGAACCAGAGTGGGTGTTAGACCAACGCATCAACCCTGCAACCGGCCAGGAAGAGGTTTTGATCAAGTGGAAGGATCAACCAGAGTTCGAATGTTCGTGGGAATGGAGGAGCGTGATCCAGGGTCAGTTTCCGGATTTCAACCTTGAGGACAAGGTTGATTTCGAGGAGGGGAGTATTGATACGTTCACGGCCCAACATCCGCCTATTCTCTATCAGTACACACGAAAAGGGAAAGTCCATTAAGCTTGAAGAATGATCCACTCTGAGGTAGAGGCACGTGGACTCAGAAGGAGTGCAGTTAACTATAGTACTAAGGAATAAACCACGGTTAAGTTTGTTATCATTCTCATCCTTTGCCCATGAGCTGTCACAGATCACGTGGGAGGAGTAGGATTAAGGATTCGCAGTAGTATAAGTTGGTTATTTGGGGATTCGGGAAAATAGCAAGTAATTGGTGAAAAAGCTTGTTCAGGGGGAGGAGAGAGACTCACATATACCTTTCTCTCATCTGTACAATCTTTCATCAATCGAATATCTATTTTCTTCTCTGTTCTTTTCTCTGTTTCTATCAAGATACAAATCACACGTATCACGCTTCTATCTCAAGGAGCTTTTGAAGTGGTGGCGGATAAAGCTCCTGTACCAAAGGTGGGGGAGAAACATATTCAAAAAACAGTTGGTTTGGATTCAATGGTTGAAAAGGCATGGAGCAGCATCATGGATTCTGAAAGAAGAATTTTAGGTCTTTATGGTATGGGGGGAGTAGGCAAAACAACCCTCTTAGCTCGTATCAACAACAAATTCGCTGAAGTGGTGAATGAATTTGGTGTTGTGATATGGGTTGTGGTGTCTAAAGATTTGCAAATCGAGGGCATTCAGAATCAGATTCTGGCAAGATTACGCCAAGACAAGGAATGGAAGGAAGAAACAGAGAAAGACTCTTCCATATACAAATCCTTCGCAGAAAGAAATTTGTACTGTTGCTAGACGATCTATGGAGCGAGGTTGATCTGAACAAGATCGGAGTTCCACCTCCAACTCGAGATAATGGATCGAAGATAGTTTTCACGACTCGTTCAAAAGAAGTTTGCAGAGACATGAAAGCTGATGATGAGATGAAGGTTGAATGTTTGTCACGGGATGAAGCGTGGGAACTGTTTCAAAACACTGTTGGAGAAGCCACATTGAAAGGCCATGGGGATATTCCTGAACTTGCAAGAAAAGTTGCTGAATCTAGCAATCAAAGGCAAAATTCTCATTTCATTTCTCTAATTTTGTCAGGAAAAAAAAAACATGACTATGGAAGACTGTATAGAATCTCAATCATATTCAAGTGTTCAATGCAATACCTGAGACAGAGAGATTTCCCAAGTGAACAGAATCCCAAAATCTTAGAGGGATACAGAGAAAGATTCCAAGTGTTCGATGAAATGCCTAAGTGGCTCAGAGGACTTATCATACTGAAACCTTCATTTGTATTACTCTCTTTGTTAACTAGTTCATGTGGCTCTGCACCAAAAAGACAGATGATTTTCCAAAAAGTATGCTCTCTCATTACATTTCATGACGTCTCTTCAGACATTTTAACCAGAGTGTACTACACATACTGTTCATATCGTTTCCAACTCTCCAGTGGATCACTGCCCTAATTATTCCATTTTCCAGCTATTATCATCAATGAGTTTTCATGATTTGATACCTTTTAATAGCATTGGATTGATTCGTACAAGTATCCCCAAGGGTGGATATGAGCTTCGAGCACCTACACGAACAGGTCAGTAACTGTTCTGAGGATTTTGTGTCATGTCATTGTTTTTTAAAGTTCAGGAGACATAGAGTATCAACGATTTTAGATCTTTTCCTAACCATATTACTGATGACTTGATGAAGGGAGATGTGGTTTTAATCAAATATGATTCGATCCGTCACAGACTGATGATGGTTGAGATGCTCTACGATTTTTAAGCCAAGTATATTCATAGTGACATTAGTGTGAGGTCATCATTCTTTCACACACACACAATATTGTGTCTATATATATATATATATATATTCTTGCTTGATTTTAATGTCGGAAAAGTTATATTAGGAGTACTTTTTTTTAGTGAAACTCGAAGTTTAAGGGTTTATGGAATTTTAATTTGGTTTCAGCTTCTTCTTTCTCGTGCTCTTCATATTTATGGTCAGTATCATTGTTGTGGATGTGAAATTTCTTCAGCGGTTTCTGAATTATTAGTGTAGAAAGGTCAATATCTTTATCTTGCATTCTGGACTTACTATTTTCTCATCAAGTCATTACATTAGAGGTCTACCGCTTTCTTTTGCCCATTCATCAAAGCAGTTTTGGTTTCTGATTTTCTGTCTGAAAGTTTGAGCAAAGATGGGAGGCTGTGTATCAATACAGTTATTATGTGAATCTGTGAATGTAATCAACTGTTGAATATAGATTAAAGGAGGAAAATACTAATGTATATAGCTGTTCATGTCACTTTGTTCTACATTGGCATAGTATTATTTTTCCGTAGCTAGAAGCCTGGAACACAGTGTCATGTTATGTAGCAAAGATAAGGTTACAAAATTCTTGCAATCCAAGAAATATTCTTAGCACGTTCTAAACGTTTTCAGTGAAATTGATAAAACCGCAATTTTTTTCTTTGAAATCGTGTACGCAAGCTTTGATTTCTTCAGATTTTCGCAACTCTGTTTCGGACAGTCTTCTGTTTTTCTCAAGTAATAACTCTGTTTAAGAACAGAGTCCCCTGTTTGTCTCTAGTCTAATGCTTGTGACGATCTTCTGTATAAGGCATTGAGACGAACTAGATTATGTAAGAAGAAATAATATCCCCACGTACTCACAATTTTTATTTACTTATTTACGTTTCTTTTTTACAAATTTTCAATTTCCAATCAATTTACTAGAGATAACCTTCAAGCTAAGCCTTGACCTCACATCAACACAAAATGGATAAAATTAATCTTCACTATATCGCGAACTACCAACTTTCTTAAAAACTCTAATCACACTACCAAGCTTAGTGACCGTATTCCCTACAAAAACAAATATCTCATTCCAGAAATAAGGCATTCTTGGTGGTTGGTGTTTTGATTCGTATATGAGAGACATTTGGTCTTGATGCATATTTATATTAGTTCCGGTTTTGGCATCATCTTTTGGATTGGTCTTGGGGTTTAGAGAGACTTGTTGTTAGGCAGAGATGTCTTTTTTGTGTTATGAGAAGCAAATAGACTAAAATTGACCCAGTTTTGGACCTACGGTCATCTTTAAAGTTTAAACGACGTCTTTTTCAACTGCGTCTCAGAGTGAGTGTGAGATTGAGATTGAGAGACGAAGTCCAGTTAATTCACATGTTCTAGTTGGCTATTCATAGCAGAAGAGAATCAAACGAGCTCGTCACAGTATAGAATTAAGAGCAGAAGAGGATCAACACGTGCTTTTTTTTGGGAACTTTTCTAAAATATTACTTTTGGGGACATAAATTTCAAACAGCGTCTGCCTCATCTCTGTTAGTAACGAGGTGTTTAGACAGCTAAAAAAGCCTCTATCGTCCAACAATTATAGTCTCCCTCATCTCAGTGTCTTTAATAATTCAGAAACAGCCTCTATCCAGCAGGAATCAGTGGTTTCTATGTCTCTGTTTCTTGAAGCAGTGTTAAACGAGATCAAAACCAGCCTCTAGCCAACAATAATTAGTGGTTGCCAGTTCTCTGGATTCTAATGCAGCGTTAAAACAGAGACAAAGGAGCATTTATCTTCCGGGTTTCAGAGTCTGTCCGTTCTCTGTATTCTAACGCAATTTTAATGCAGATCAAAGCAAGACTCAGAAAATCTAGAGACTAAACAGCCTCTACCCTCTGCCTCACGCCAGTGTCTTGAACAGACCAAAAACAACCTCTATCCTGCAAGAATCAATGGTTGCTAGGTCTTCATTTCTTAAAGCAGTGTTAATGGTGATCAAAACCAGTCTCTAGCCAACAATAATTAGCAGTTGCCAGTTCTCTGGATTCTAAAGCAGCGTTAAAACAGAGACAAAGCAGCTTTTATAGTCCAGGTTTCTCCATTTTTCAACGCAGTTTTTAGGCAAATCAAAACAAGACTAAAAAATGCAATTATGTTGTAGGTGGGCTGAGCACAGCCCCTTTTTGTAATTTCGATCAAGCCCAATAAGATCAAGGATCGACAAGTCCATTCACAAAGATTTAAACGAGGTTGTTTTTGGGGATGATCTTTTCGTATCGAAGGAGTAGCTCGCCACCTCGACACAGATGGGACGGCTCGCCACCTCGACATAGATGAGACGGTTCGCTAGCACGACGTTCCGTTTGATGGTCGGTCAGGTCTATCTACCGGGCCGCCCAAGCTAGTCTGACCGAGATGTAACCTAATCTCAACACTATAAATAGCCCTGTAAATTCATTTATTACGGGATCCGTAATCTGAAATAGAGACTAAAACACTTGATACTTAAAATCTTCAACTCTTACCTCGTTTACTTAACCTCGTGATACCACCTCGAAATCATCATATCGATCTCACCTCTATTCGAACAAGAATCTCCGAGCTCCACCTAGATACATTTACCTAAATAACCTCGTGTGCGGATACAATACCACAATTGGCGCCCACCGTGGGGCTAAGAGATTTCTTTCTACGCAAAGAGGGGCTCGATAATGTCAGGAATTCAAATCAACGAGACGACTAGTCTACCCATCTCAACTACAGCCGAGGAGGGACTTCACACGTCACCGGTTAACAATCCAGAGACCTCGAATAGGCAATCACCAACGATGAATCCTGTGGAAAACGCAACCCCGCACCCAGAAGCGCAAGATGTAAACCGAGGCACGCCAGCTCCTGCTGATGTCGCAACATTATTTGTGACAATGATGGCTCGAATGGAGGAGCTGAATCATCAGACAAGCGCTCGCCTGAACGAGCTCGCCGCGGCACAACTTTCTTGTCAAGATCAAGTCAACATATTACACTCGTCAGAGACCCAAGCCCCGGAGAGACGGGCCCAAGAAATTCAGCGCGTACAACGCGCCTTATTCGGAGACTCACCCGCACCGCCAACAACAGAAAATCATCCAACCTCGAACTGCGATGAGGTGAACATCGGGGCTCCCGAACACGAAACACGTCGGCTTCAGATAAGAAACTCGCAGCAAGACGAAGAAATTCTCGAAATGAGAGCCAAATTGCGAGCCATGACCTCGCTTGTACATCAAGCAACTAGCTCGGCATCTGAGATCGACCGTGTGTTGAAAGAAAGCCAAAGCACACCGTTCACGACCCGAATCACCGATTTCCCGATAAGAACTCAAGTGAAGTTCAATCTCCCGACGTATACAGGAAACTCGGACCCAAGCCAATTCATGACCGCGTTCAGCATTCAAATGGGCCGAGCACGATTCACCCCCGAGGAGAAAGATGCAGGCTTCTGCCAACTGTTCGTTGAAAATCTCAGCGGTGCAGCCCTCGTCTGGTTCTCCAAGTTAAAAGTGAACTCGATTGACAGCTACCAAGCGTTGTCGACCGCATTCCTCAAGAGGTACATGATGTATATCCAAGACGCAGTTTCCAGCGCCGACCTCTACCAGATCAAACAAGGCGAAAAAGAATCCCTTCGGTCTTTCATCGGCAGGTTTAATGCGATCGTTTCTCGGATCACCGTGACTGACGAAGCATCGCTGCCAGCTCTTCGGAATGCCCTACGAATCGATTCGAAGTTTTGGGACAGCCTCAAGTTCAGCAAACCCCGAACTCTCGAAGACGCGCTTCACCGTGCCACCTTATATATCGAGGACGAGGAAGAAAAAGAGATCGCGTCACCAGCAAAAGCGACGCCGAAGCAGCAACCTCACAAAGAAATCCCCAAACAAGATTATCAGGAACCTCGACAACACCTCGACAATAACTATCGAGGCGACAATCGCCGAGGAGCGACGTACAACATCAGCACTCAACAACAACAAAATCGCCAGTATCAAAACCAATCGAACACCTGGCAACGAGGAGATTGCGGGGAGACACGACCTTTCTGCGATTATCACAACAAGTACAGTCACCCGACTGCGATGTGTCGCGAACTACAGGCCTATTTGCTCGCCAAATATCGAAAGGGGGAGATCGCAATAGCAAACCAGCCCCAAAACACTGCGCCGCGAAACAATGAAGTTCGACCAACGGCTCCCATCGAACAACTTCCACCTCCTCCCCCAACGAACGAACGATCCAACGACGATCTCGCAAAGAGAGACCGAGGTAACCAACCTCGAGGTGACACTCTTCCGGCATCTCGAAAGAAGGTGTTCTTTATCATGGGAGGCCTATCGACGTGCAACGATTCCGTCAGGTCGATAAAAAAGTACGGCCGCCAGGTCATGCTCGCACAAAAATGGCAAGTCAAAAGCCCCAAGACCGCCGATAGCGATGCGATCACATTCACCGAGGCCGACACGGAAGGAGTCGACATGCCACACAACGATCCTCTTGTGGTCGAGCTGCGGATCGCAGATTGCGAAGTGTCTCGGATACTGGTTAATACAGGGAGCTCGGTCGACCTGATTTTCAAAGAAACACTCGACAAAATGGAAATGGCGAACCACCACCTCAAGTCCTCGGTTAAGCCACTCACAGGGTTCGACGGAGACACGGTCTACTCGATCGGAACAATCAGACTCCCGGTCTACGCGGCGAAGACAACCCGCCTCGTCAAATTTGTCGTCGTCGACAAACCTGCCATCTATAATGTAATTCTGGGAACACCCTGGCTACAATCCATGAAGGCGGTGCCATCAACCTATCATCAATGCCTCAAATTCCCAACCGCGTTCGGGGTCAAAACCATTCGAGGCTCTCAAGAGATATCGAGACTCTGCTTCGCCGCCGACCACAAGCTTCGATTCAAATCCATGGCCCCAGCCAAGGCGTGTCTTACGATTTTACCCGTAACTCAAGTCGATTGGCCATCTCAAGAAAGACCAAAGTAGGAGCTCGTCGTCCAAGTAAACATCGACGAAAGCGATCCCGAACGATGCGTAGGAATCAGAGCCGACCTAAAGGAAGAGATCAAGGTTGAACTCATACGACTTCTTCGCCGAAATGCATCGACGTTCGCCTGGTCAATACGTGATATGCCTGGGATCGATCCCGCGATAACAAGTCACGAACTCAACATCGATCCTACGTTTAAGCCAATCAAGCAAAAGCGGAGAAAGTTGGGTCCAGAAAAGGCACAAGCCGTTAATGATGAGGTCGAACGTCTGTCAAAGGCTGGCTCGATCGTCGAGGTTAAATACCCGGAGTGGTTAGCAAACCCAGTTGTCGTCAAAAAGAAAAATGGCAAATGGCGAATCTGCGTGGACTTCACCGATCTCAACAAGGCGTGCCCCAAGGATAGTTTCCCCTTGCCACACATCGATCGAATCGTCGAGGCAACTGCAGGAAACGAGCTCCTGTCATTTATGGACGCTTTCTCCGGTTATAATCAAATCACGGTGCATCCCGACGATCGTGAAAAGACGTCTTTCATCACCGATCGAGGAACCTATTGTTATAAGGTAATGCCGTTCGGTTTGAAAAACGTGGGCGCAACGTACCAACGATTAGTCAACTACATGTTCGCCGAGCAGTTAGGACGAACAATGGAGGTCTACATCGACGATATGCTGGTGAAATCACTCACCGCCGGTGATCACATCGGCCATCTGCAAGCTTGCTTCACCGTCTTAAATCAGTACCAGATGAAGCTCAATCCGACGAAGTGTACTTTCGGGATAACTTCCGGAGAATTCCTCGGCTACATCGTCACTAAGCAAGGAATCAAGGCAAATCCGAAACAGATCAATGCCTTAATCAATCTCCCATCACCTCGCAACACTCACGAGGTTCAACGTCTCACCGGCCGGATCGCAGCGCTTAACCGATTCATCTCTCGATTGACAGATAAATGTCTTCCGTTCTATCAGCTCCTCTGAGGCAACAAGCGTTTCGAATGGGACGACAAGTGTGAAGAAGCCTTCCAACAACTGAAGGAATACCTCGCCAGCCCTCCAATTTTAGCAAAACCTGAAACGGGCGAAACTCTCTACCTCTACATCGCTGTGTCGAGCTCAGCGGTAAGCGGCGTCTTAGTCAAAGAAGATCGAGGCGAGCAGAAACCGATTTTCTACGTTAGTAAAACTCTGGACGACGCAGAAAAACGGTATCCGACTTTGGAGAAACTCGCGCTCGCGGTCATCATGTCCGCTAGAAAGCTACGACCCTACTTTCAATCCCATTCAGTCGTCGTCTTGACCAATCAACCACTTTGAACGATACTGCACAGCCCGAGCCAATCAGGTCGCATGGCAAAGTGGGCTGTCGAGCTGACGGAGTACGATATTGAATATCGCAATAAGACAAGTGCCAAATCGCAGGTCCTCGCGGATTTTCTGGTAGAGCTTCCGCCAGAGCTAATCCAAACCGACCTACCCGATGAGAAGTGGTCCTTGTACGTCGACGGATCTTCTTCATCTCGAGGCGCAGGTATTGGCATCCGACTAGAGTCTCCGACGAAAGAGATATTGGAGCAATCGTTCCGGCTCGAATTTCCAGCCTCGAATAATGAAGCAGAATACGAGGCTTTACTCGCAGGACTTTGTCTAGCCCAAGGTATCGGGATCAAGAAAATCGAAGCTTTCTGCGACTCCCAGCTCGTTGCCAGCCAATACAGCGGCGACTACGACACCAAAAACGACCGGATGGACTTGTATCTTAAAGCCGTCAAGAACCTCACTGATCGCTTCGAATTTTTCTCACTCACCAGAATTCCGAGGAGTGACAACACCTCGGCAGACGCACTAGCCGCCCTCGCATCGACGTCCGAATCACATCAAAGGCGCGTGATCCCGGTCGAAAGCATCGATTCCCCCAGCATCGTCTTACCTCGAGGAGTATGTGCAGTTCGCGAGCTCGAAGCAAATGGGTTAGACGCCATAGAATTGCCTCCCCCCCGAGGTCATCGATGAGCCTGCCGAACAAGAGCCAGCGACCGAAGACTGGAGGATTGAAATCTTACTCTACATAACAGATGGCCAAGTCCCACCTGACCGATGGGCAGCGAGGCGTTTAAAAGTTCGAAGCGCCAAATACATTCAGTCACATGGCGACCTCTATCGTTGGAGCTCAACCCGGCACCCTGCTCAACTGTTTGCATGGTGTGGAGACGCTCGATGTCATGCGAGAAACACACGAAGGCGCGTGTGGAAATCACTCCAACGGTCGAGCTCTCGCTCTAAAAATCAAGAACCACGGCCATTTTTGGCCGACAATGCTTACCGATTGCGATCGATTCGTAGCTCGCTGCGAGCAGTGTCAACGACATGCGCCCATGATCCATGCACCAGCCGAGCTTCTGGCTGCTTCCTCGCCACCTTATCCCTTCATGTGATGGGCAATGGACATCGTGGGTCCACTTCCTCGATCCCGACAAAAAGATTCATGCTAATCATCACTGATTATTTTACGAAATGGGTCGTGGCCGAATCCTACGCCAAAATCAAAGCAACCGACGTGAAGAACTTCGTCTGGAAGAACATCATCTGCCGCCACGGACTACCCTACGAGATCGTCACCGATAATGGCCCCCAGTTCATCTCCGATGTATTCGAGGACTTCTGTGCAAAATGGAAAATACGACTTAGCAAGTCAACACCGCGATACCCACAAGGAAACGGCCAAGCCGAGGCAACCAACAAGACTATCCTCGACGGCATCAAAAAGAGACTCGAGGATAAGAAGGGCTTATGGGCAGACGAGTTAGATGGAGTCCTATGGTCATATCGAACTACACCACGCAGATCGACGAATAAAACCCCTTTCTCGTTGTCTCACGGCATGGAAGCCTTAGCTCCTGCCGAGGTCGATCTACCAACCATACGCAGAACGATGTTGACACAAGACGAGAAGATGAACGGAAGAATGATGAACGATAGCCTCGACATGCTCGAGGAGGAGCGAGACCACGCTCTGTTACGTATGCAAAATTATCAGCAGCAAATCTCACGATACTACAACAAACGCGTGAAAGGTAGGCACTTCGAAACTGGCGACCTCATCCTTCGAAAGGTGTTCGAAAATACCGAAGAATACCGCGCCGGAAAACTGGGCGCAAAGTGGGAAGGCCCCTACCAAATCACCAACGTTATAAAGCCTGGCGTTTATGAGCTGATGACGATGGACGGCGAAATGATACCGCGATCGTGGAACTCGATGAACATAAAGCGGTATTACTACTAAAAAAAAAAAAAAAAAAAAAAAGACGCTCACCGAGCTATACTCGGTCGAGCTAGATCTCGAATGTGAACTACGATCGGCTTGATCCCAGTCTGTTGGGTACGTAGGCAACCTCTCACGAGGTACAGCTATTAATAAAATTTTGTTTATAACAACTTTTACATCGACATCTTTACATCGACATCCTAGCTAGATGTTTGATCTTCTACTACGCATTTCCCTACAATGCAACCTCTTAGTAAATCCTAAAGAACAAAAGCCTTACGATTGTAAGAGAATAAGCTGGGACCAGTCCCGCACCCTTTCTTAAATCACCCGAATAATTACGTCGAGATCATTCTCACTATTCAGACACGATTAATAAAATAAAACAGGGTAAGCCGAGTCATACCTCACACCTATTGTTCCCTTAAGCCGAGTTCCACCTCGCACCTATTGTTCCCTTAAGCCGAGTTCCACCTCGCACCTTTTGTGCCCTTAAGCCGAGTTCTACCTCGCACCTATTGTTCCCTTAAGCCGAGTTCCACCTCGCACCTATTGTTCCCTTAAGCCGAGTTCCACCTCGCACCTTTTGTTCCCTTAAGCCGAGTTCTACCTCGCACTTATTGTTCCCTTAAGTCGAGTTTCATCTCGCGCCTACAATTCGCAGGTTTTGTTTAATTAGGTTTTGTTTAATTAGGCAAGATTTACCTCGTGTCAAGCATTTCATCTCGAATCTATTGTCATTTAAATTGCGAGCTAATACTTCATTATTAAGATGAGGATATCCGCATTAGTCGTTTTGTTTTTCTTAAGTATACCTCGTATTTATTCTCTCTTTATAATTCAAATCGCGAGCTGATACTTCGGAAAAAGAGCATTCATTAATAAAGATAGGTCGGGTCATTACAAACGAGGCAAAATAAAAAAAAAAGAAAAAAGTCAAAAGGCAAGATCTATTCTTCAGGCTCATTGCCGCCCTCGTGGTTCTCTTCGTCTTCGGCATCATCTCGATCCGAACCACCATCTGGAGTTTCAGGGTAAGGCGGAGGCAAGTCGCCTTCCTCAAGATCTGTGAAGCTGAGGTTCTCGAGCTTCTGTTCGCAATCGCGCTTCGACGATTCCAGCTCGGCTCTCAACTCTGCCTCAGACATCTCTTGCTCCTTCAAGAGATCAAGGCATTCCAATGTACCTCGAGCTTGAACCAGATCGAGCTTATCCTTCTCGATCGCCTCCTGTTGAGCAACCCAAATCCTCAGCCGATCGATGCGACCGGAATACTTCGCCTCGGCATCCGCCCAAATTCGGGTCGTCTCCGCCTCGATCCTCTCATCAGCTTGTCGCTGTGCCCGGACGACCTCAGTGGCGATCCACTTCTCGACCTGGATCTTGGCCTCATTGATGATCTGCAGGTTATTCACTAAATCGAGGTTCTCTTGCTTCATCGCCTCAATCTTGTCAGTTAGCTCTTTAACCCCTACATCGAGCTGCTCCGCCTTCCTCTTCATGGTCTGCCAATTGTCCTCGGCGACCCTTCGCTCCTCGATGGCGGCGTCACGCTCTTTCCCCGCCTTTTCACCAGCAGCCTGGGCATCTTTTAACCGAGCGGCACCATTCCGGAGCCAGCGCATGTACTGACCCCGCGCGCAGTTGCAGCTCGCGATGAACTGAAAATAAAAACAAAAAAATATAAATCAGTCGAGCTCATAGATTAAAACGTAAAGTGAAGATTCCAGACATACCTTGAAGGCGAAGCTCGCCATGTCTTTGAAAGCCCCATCGGTTCCAGGGGGACCTCGGAGGTAGAGCCCCTTATCATCCCGAACAGCTCTGCGCATTTGTCAACATTGTTGACAAACGGTTCGTTCGACTCGGGGTACTCGAACGAAAAGCTCCAGTCGATCTCTTTGGCCTTGTCGTTACCAGGTGGATCGACCCTAGGCCGTTTGTTCGCAGCCTCCGCTCCAATTTGACCGCCATCATCGCCATCCCCAGAAGTTTTCTTCTTTTTCCCTTTCGCCTTAGCCTCGGCGACCTCCTTCTTCTCGGCGAGACGAGCAGCCTCGGCTTCTTCCTTCTTTTGGGCACGGCGAGCATCTTCGACCTCCTCCTTCTTCTGTTTCTTCTCCTCGCGCTTCCTCTTCTTTTGCTTCTTCTCCTCGCACCTCGCCGACTGTGTGGCTTCATCGGCTTCATCATCCGGTTGCCGAGCTTCCACTTGGTCTTCAGCACTCTGAGCTTCGACCTCGACCTCGGCAACGCGTTGAGGATCGACCTCAACCTCTTCTTGGGACGGCACTGGATCCGAGCGTACAGGCCGAGAAGCAGTAGGACCCCGATCCTTACTCTCGCTCTTTTTGTCCTTTAGACGTGCGGCGAGGCTGGGCGCGTTAACTTGAATCGGAGTCGAACTTACCGTTTGTGATGCGATTGATGGCAGCCTCGACTCTCCGACGATGAATGTCAGGCCACCTCTGAATGCCAACGGATCTGAGCTTTTGAAGATTCTCGAAGTAATCTTCCGGATAAGCGTCGAGGTTAACGTTTCGATCTGCAAAGAAAAGTCGAGGTGTAAGTAAGATATAAAAGGAAAAATTGACAGTCGATCAAACAAGCGATCTACCAATTCTCTGGCTCCATTCGTTCCTAAAATTTCTAGCCGTGTCAACGACTAACGACTCATCGACCTTGGCGTAAAAGAAAGACGCCTCCCAGTTCGATGTCCTATTCACGGGGTAAATAAGAGAACAGTTTTTTCCGGCTTTAATGGTGTAAGTGCCCGGGATCGAGTTATTCCTCTGGACAGTGGTCATCTCTTCGAAGAAGCGCCAGTCGACGCTAACCCCGACCTCGCTCCCAAACAGGAGAGCCGCGACCATATACCGTATTCCTGCCGGAAGAATCTGCGAGAGAGCGATGCATCGCCAGTCTGCGTAATCCGTCAGCAGCCTCGGCAACGGAACCCAAAGATGACGCATGCTGAACGAGGCCTCGTACAACGTGACCCAGCCGACCGGGGCTAGCCATGGACGGTCATCAGGACCTGGCGATCTGAGCTCGCAGTGAAAGCCGTAAAGCGCCCGCATTTCTTCGAGGCGCTCCGGTGTCATTCGAGATCGAATGTCCACTAATCGATTCTTGATGTTCCCCTTTCGTTTGGAACCCTTCTTTCGAGGTTTGGTTTGCTCGCCTTCCTCCTCGTTATCTTCCTTATCGATCTCGTCTTCAGCTTGCTCAACAGCATCTCCTTCACGAGAATCTTCGTCAATTTCGACCACTTGAAGATTTGAGGCCTCGCGTTGTGAGGAGGCACCATCAGGTCGAAGTCGATCAGCCAATTCCACAAGTGGCGATTCTTCACGGTCCGATCGACTTTCGGACCTCGACTGCGCCTCAGGAGAGGAGCTGTTGTTCACAGAAACCTCTTGGTCCGACGCGGACCCAGACTCTAAGCTCGACTCAATACGCTGACCCCCCAAAGACATTACTCGATGTCGGATAACAAGAAAAACAAAATAACAAAAGGACGAGTTCTAGAGAGAGAAAGGAATTCTAGAGAGAGAAAGGAATTCTAGAGAGAAGGGAGAGCAGAATTACCTTTGTAAACGGAGAAGAAAATGAGAAGAAGAGGAGGAGAGCAGAATATATAAGGAAGAGAAAACAGCAGTTACCGAGGAAAGTAATCATGATCCGGACGCTTCCCAGCACTTTATTTAATGGCGGATTCCACGCGCTTCCCGAAAATCACGCTTCCACTCGCGACTCTTCGCTGCCCAAGACGACTGTTATTTCTCGCGACTCTTCGCTGCCCAAGACGACCGTTGCTTTTTGCGATTCATCGCTTCCCAAGTATCACCTCGACTCCGAAGACCCGACATCGATATCGAGGTCCAAGGAGATGAAAGTCCTCCAGCTCGATGCGTTGAATATCGAAGTAACATCTCCATCAACGGACTGGGGGGGCGACAATTGTTGTAGGTGGGCTGAGCACAGCCCCCTTTTTGTAATTTTGATCAAGTCCAATAAGGTCAAGGATCGACAAGCCCATTCACAAAGATTTAAATGAGGTCGTTTTTGGGGGATGACATTTTCGTATCGAAGGAGTAGCTAGCCACCTCGACACAGATGGGACGGCTCACCACCTCGACATAGATGGGACGGCTCGCCAGCACGACGTTCCGTTTGACGGTCGGTCAGCTCTATCTACCCGGCCGCCCAAGCTAGTCTGACCGAGATGTAACCTAATCTCAACACTATAAATAGCCCTGTAACTTCATTTATTACGGGATCCGTAATCTAAAATTGAGACTAAAACACTTGATACTTAAAATCTTCAACTCTTACCTCGTTTACTTAACCTCGTGATACCACCTCGAAATCATCATATCGATCTCACCTCTATTCGAACAAGAATCTCCGAGCTCCACCTAGATACATTTACCTAAATAACCTCGTGTGCGGATACAATACCACAAATTGGAAAAAATATGTACCTCTTTCTTACAAGGATGTGATTTGTAAGATATTTTCTAGAACTGCAAGGAATAAGACGACATTATAATGATCTCATTGATCTGCCATATTGTGGTCTACAAACCCCATAACTCTAATTATTTATGTCTAGGACAATATCATTCTCTGGATTCTAATGCAACGTTAAAACAGAGACAAAAGAGCATTTATCTTCCGGGTTTCAGAGTCTGTCCGTTCTCTGTTTTCTAACGCAATTTTAATGCAGATCAAAGCAAGATTCAGAAAATCTAGAGACTAAACAGCCTCTACCTCTGCCTCACGCCAGTGTCTTGAACAGACCAAAAACAACCTCTATCCAGCAAGAATCAATGGTTGCTAGGTCTTCATTTCTTAAAGCAGTGTTAATGGTGATCAAAACCAGTCTCTAGCCAACAATAATTAGCAGTTGCCAGTTCTCTGGATTCTAAAGCAGCGTTAAAAGAGAGACAAAGCAGCTTTTATAGTCCAGGTTTCTCCGTTTTTCAACGCAGTTTTTAGGCAGATCAAAACAAGACTAAAAAATGCAATTGAAAAAAATATGTACCTCTTTCTTACAAGGATGTGATTTGTAAGATATGTTCTAGAACTGCAAGGAATAAGACGACATTATAATGATCTCATTGATCTGCCATATTGTGGTCTACAAACCCCATAACTCTAATTATTTATGTCTATGACAATATCATTCATATACACAAGCTTTGAAATAGTATGAGGCCCATTATTTTGGGCTTATAATAACGATAAATTCGAAATTTTTTATAACAAAATCAATACTTGAAAGGTCTGAGAAGAAACCATGTATAAAATTAGTGGTGAGTTGTGACATAGTTTTTTTTTTTTTTTGGGTGAGTTGTGACATAGTTAAAAGACCATATATACAATTCGAACATTTAAAATAGAGAGAATAGTGGTAGAGAATCAAGAACATATATGAAAACAAAACTTTTAAAACGAAATATCGAAATAATGATATGTGACCATATCATTCATATGTACACAGGTTCTGAAATATTACAAAAGCCCATAATTTTGGGCTTATTCTTTTTCTAATCTAAAATATGGATTTGTCTACTTTTTTTAAACGGTTATTCCTTTTTTAAAAAACTTTTGTTTTTATTTGTAGTTTTGTTTAATTTTCGTAATCTAAACATAACTATTTTTTTTTCTTTTATCTTTTGGGATTATAAATCAATATAAAGTTTACTTTTATTGTTAATATATTATGTGTTAAATATAATTAGAGATTTATTAAACATATATCAATATTTAATATTAGAAATTTATTAAATATGTGTCAAAATCTGATCGATGAACTTAACACGTGTCGCGATCATGCGAATTAACAACTTTGAAACATTCTCCTATGTATAATAAGATTTTAGACTGATTGATCATGATAAAAAATATACAATACCATATTGTTTAGTATCTCTGTAATATCATTTTAATTTAAATATTTGAATTAAATATAAATTAATATCTGGTTTATTATTTTTGTAAGATATAATAATGATTTTGATAATTAATCTAACCCTTTTTTGGATAACTTGATAATTAATTTAACTTATAATCAAAAATTCAAACTAATCTAAATTAAATTTGAATTTTCAGAATTATCTGTTTAACAAAAATTAAATACAATACTTTATAAATGTTTTACTAAATTGACTTTTTGAAGTGCAAATATCCACAAAATAGCCTAATATAAAGATTTTCTAAAGATATTATATCCATAATTATATATTATCGTAAATTTGAAATTAATTTATTTTTATATATTTATATTCGATAAAAAAACTAAATTTCTATTAAAACAGTTTTCAAACAGATTTGTTTTAAAGAAAATAAGAGTGTTTGGATGCAAAAACTAAAAATGCTTTCTTTTTAATAGTTACTACAAATAAAAGAGTGTTTTACATCACTTATTTTTTATATTTACATCAGTTTTACATCAAACTGATGTAAAAGAATTTTGCATTATTTAAATAAGTAATTTTGAAAGTGGTGTTTTACCAAAAAAAAAAGGTGTTTTACATCACTTATTTTTTATAGTATAGAAGTTTTACTACACCAAACCGTAAACTAGAATACCAACCCTATTCTATGTTATGATGTAGCTAGTAGACTACGTGCTGTTTTAGAAAACAGATGTAGTTATCAGTCTAATTCTTACCAATTGAGTTGGAAAGCCATGATAAACACATATATTTAACATATTAACATGGTATTGCAAAAAAAAAAACATGGTGTCAAAATTCGAATACACGTTGCTCTATCCGAACTAATCTAAATAGATCGAATGGTATCACTATTTTTTTCTCAAATTTTGTATATATTAATAGTCAATTTATGAAGGTACATATTTGATTTAACATCATAACCACATGGATATTTTTGAGTAACCCCTAGTTTTCGAGTTTGGTCGATCCATAACCCGTCCCACGCTTTTTTCTTTGCACAAAGTTCACCAGAAACCTCTATGCGCCTTCTGACTTCTGAGTGATGACTAATAAAATCATCAACAAACATATATAACCTTACAAGTTAAAGGTGTGCAACAGTGTAATCAAGTTTGTAGGTTACAAGCAAGTTTTTTCACTTCAGTCTTAAAGTGAAGGTGTTTCAACGTAAATTTTGTTTCCATAACATTACAAGTCATGGTCCTCATGGATCAAGCCAAAAACTAATTTTGAAAAACGGTTGTCAATTAAGTATTTCTTGTTAATTAAAACTTCTACCAATTTCCAAAAAGAAATTCGTTCAAAGATCATAAACTGATTTAAATCTCAACGTCGTCTATATTTTCATTGTTGTCAAAGTCGTCCATTTAAATACTGTATTTTAGGTGAAAGAAAATAAAAAATCGCTCGAAACTGATGACTGTTTAACATCTCAACGTCGTCTGTTTAAGACTTTGTATTTTCTATCAGAAAAGGGATTATCAAATACCTATGCTGCACATGGTTTCAAACACGTATAGAAGGATTAGTTGCAATTTATAATTTGCCCCATTTGTTTAGGTTTTACGTGTAAGTATCACCATTATTCTTATAAAAAAAAGAAGAAGTTCACTATTATTATTAACCCGAGCTTTGAATTGACCAAACGAAAACTTACACTTACTTTTATATATTATCTTAGACATTACTGGCAGACATGATAATTGAAAATTATTCTAATTCGTTACTTAAATCTAATTACTTAATAAATTTGAGATGGAATCTCAGTATGGATGTTGTTACTTTAGTTTAGCTTTCTTTTTCTTGAAGAACCTTAACTTCTCTTTCATTTAAATTTTAACCTTACATCAACAACTTGCAAAGAGTTCTAGACGTGATGATTGATTTCTAATACATAATATCATTTCTAACTTCAACATCAACATTAAAGATATTTATCACCTTTGAATTACGATATCTGAAATTATTAGCCATAATTTCAAATTTATGTATAACATTTTTACACATTCCCTAATATAACAAATTTTTTGAAAACTATAAATTAAAAAGAAATATCTCTATAAATGAATTAATATTAATTTATGGACAGTAATATATCTATAATTTAATAAATTTTTAAAATTCTAGCATAAATTTGATAATCCTAGACAAGACTTTATCTTTCAATAATACAGCTATGATTCAATAAATAGAGTCCAAACCCAAGAAATAAAAACCTCAGTTTCTCCAACGCTCTTCCCGAAAAAATCAATCATATCTTCAACGTGACCAGAAACAACACACGAAGAAGACGAAACACAAATAAAAACACAAAAGAAGAAGAAAATAGAAAGGCACCAACAGCTCTCGTGATCTTCCCGCCTTTTTCCCCGGAAAAGTCTTATCGAGCTTTTAAACTTTCCAAAAAAGGGATTGGATCGAAGTTTCCGGTTTCGGATTCGAGATTCGATTCGACTTTTCCCCAGAGAGATCGCCGGAGATTTGGATTCGATTGAGAAAATTGGATCGATTCACGGATTGATGGGGCGTCTCCGGCGACGGCAAGAGAGTGTAGCCGAGGAAGATGATTTAAACGACGACGTTTCATCGAGAAGAGGTAAATTGAGCTTGGCCGAGTCGTTTCGGTGGCTAGATTCCTCCGAGCATCAGCAAATTGAATCCGATGGTTCAAAAGGCCATCGATTCATCATTCATCCCAAAAACAGGTTCTCTCTTCTTCTCTCTAAATAAGTAATTTGTTTTTAATTGTTTCTTTTTCGAAATGTGATTTTAGTCAGTTTTATTGAGTTTTTATTGGATGATAATAACGTAGAATTTGTTTTTTGTCTTCTTTACTTGAAAATTGAAATCTAGAAAATATCTTTTTTTTTAATCCAAAAAAAAACAAAGCTTACTCGTTTTAGCTGTTAGGAAAAAAACATCATAATATTTGCCTGTCTATTTAAAATATGAAAATTTGTTTTACAAGATTTGGGATTTTTTTAAAAATAAAAAACTCCTTCCGTATCAAATGAATTTATGTTAGGCCCTTTAACAAAAAAAAAATAATCAAATGGATGTATGTTGAGTTTTTTTCACACATATTAATTTCGTTTTATAAATAATAATTCTTATTTTATTTAAACAAACAAATAAAGAAGGACATAAAATTCACATTAAATTAATTATGCAGGAAAAATAGAGAATATGTATTTTCAAAAATGTTTATCAAGGAATAATCTTAGCACATAATTCGAAAGTGATTAGATCATTAGATGCCAATTAGGTGATTGTTATAGATATGATCACTAATTTGTTTTTGGTGGGGCACCTAATATTAGTTTTTTTTTTGGAAGACTCGTATTCTTGTGTTTTTGTCTTTGAAACCTCATGTAGATCAAAGCATTTTGCTTTATTTACGAACGACCAAGTGGTAACTTTAAAATGGGATTGGTACAAATTCTAGATAACATCGATTTTTTTTTCTTTAAATATAAGCCTTACGTTAAACAGCTTGAATCCACTAGAGGAAATGCTGGTACACTCCCATAGTCCCATAAATGTCTATACTTGTGTTTTTTTTTTTACGACACTTGTTGGTTTTTTTAATAGTAATTTAGAGAAATGTTTTACTAGTTATATAGATGTATTGGAGATCAAATTATTAATGTTCCGCCAATTGTGCCGTAGCCAGAGGGCACACGTGGGCGTTCATCCACCTGTAACCTTAATAAAAAAAGCATTATTATAAAATTAGTTTAAAATGTCAAACTTCTACTAAAAAACTAAGAATGTTACGACATAAAAAAACAAAAAATGTTAGTATGTTACCAGTCTACTAAATTGAAATTTATAAGTTCGATCGATAAGTGCAATTTTCAAAAATTTTATTTATTCTAAGCTTTTTTCGAAATATAGCACCATTATTTTTTTTAATAATGACTTAAAACGTTTTTCTAATAGAGAAATTCTAAACTGAAAAAAAAAACCCAAACATAATTCTTCAATTTTGCCTGTAATTCTTTAGGATAAAAGAATATTTTCACACAATAATTTGTGTTATTTTAGGAATTTTTGTTTAGAACAAATTTTCATTTTTACGCTGTTTTCAGGCATTTCTCAAAATATCGAATTAGAATATAAAAAGAATTAGCAAATATAATATATCTATTATATTAAAACAGAAGTATATTTAGTGCTTGTTTTCAAACACTTTCATATTTTTTTAAAAATTATTTTATTTTATATTTATATTTAATTACGAAAATTAGGATTAGTTTAGATATTTTTAGATTCTCCTTAAATATAAATGATAAGTAATTTTAAAAAATTATTTTATATTGATATTTAATTTCGAAAATTAGTTATTAATTTAAATATTTTTAAATTTCTTGAACTATAGTCATATTTAAATAAAATTTCAAATTATTCTAGATTTTTAATAATTATATTTAATTACAAAATTTAGATTTAATTTAATTTAAAATTTAAAAAAATTTATAATTAATTTTTATTACAAAAATTTAGGTAATAATTTTAGTTACTTTAGAATTCTTTAAATATAGGTTAAATTTAATTTTAAATTTTAAATTTAAATTGTACTTTTAAATTTAAAAAATGATTTAAGGCAACTAAACAGATAGATTAGCCAAATTATAGATATAAATTATTTATATGTAAATTCACATAAAAATTACATAATTAAATTTACATAATTAAAATCACATAATAACAAAGTTTATAATTAACATTAGATCGAAATATATTTAATTAACTCATATTCTTATTCTACAAATATACAAATCTATACTATTTAAAATTAAAACATGATAACAAAATGTTGATAAATTGATGAAAAGTTTAACACATTTTATTCTCATTATTTTTCATATTTGAAAAATTGAAAAATGAATATTTTTGATTTAAAAAAATAAATAAATAATAAAAACAACTTATATTTAAATAAAAAAATAAATACAAATTATATTTAAAAAAAAAATTTCCGTGCGGACACACGAGATTAGAATCTAATTTATCATTAAAAATGTAATAAAAATATACAATAAATAAAAATACTCTTTTCGATAACACCTAATTATAACTGCTTTTGTGATTTTAACTATAAAATAATAGGGGATTACCAGTCAAAACCAATAAAAAAAATTGTCAAATTGGTAAGGCAAACTACTAGTCCAGCTACCTCGATCTAATTAACAAATTAAAAATTTAAACATTGGTGCTTGCATTTAATAATATATCTTCATTTGGAGTTTCGATAAATATTGCGTTTAGATACATTACTTATTTGATGTGAGGTATATAGATCAAGATTACATTTTTCAGAAATCCTTGGATTAGAGACATGATATTAATAAAAAGTGTGGTAAAAACGAGCAGGTGGTACAAGGCATGGGAACTGTTTATATTGGTGTGGGCAATATACTCCTCTTTGTTCACTCCCATGGAGTTTGGTTTCTTCCGTGGTCTGCCTGAGAATCTCTTTATACTTGACATCGTTGGTCAGATCGCATTTTTGGTCGATATTGTTCTTCAATTTTTCGTCGCTTTCCGTGATAGCCAGACATACAAGACTGACTATAAACCAGCACATATTGCTCTCCGGTCAGTTATATGTATGGACATTTACAAGCATTTCTCTATTTATGCTTTATATATATAGCTTTTAACTGATGAAATTTTGTCTTTTCGCATCATTTTCTTAGGTACTTGAAGTCGCATTTCTTCTTGGATTTTGTCAGTTGCTTCCCGTGGGATCTTATCTACAAGGTATTACTTTTTGCTTTCTAGCTAGCCTTTCTCAAATCTTCAAGAAAAAAAGTATATTTATGGTTTTTGTTATTCGGTTTTAAATTTTAATGGTTTTGTAGAAACTTATTTTTATTGGTTTTGGTTTGGTTTGTTTTGACTCAATCTTTGTTTGGTTAGGTTCATATTTATCAGGTTTATAAAAACTGAAAGCAAATAGAAACCATTTGTATTTCGTCTGGTTTGGTTAGCGTCTTCTTCGATCTTTAATTATTAGGTTTGTTTATATTGGACTTATAGAAAGTTAAAATCATTTGTATATTGTATGGTTTGGTTCGGTTTTTACTGCAATTTTGGTTAATTTGGTTAGGGAATGTTTAGGTCAAAGTAGTTTTAAAGAATAGACAAAATAAGTATTTATCTAACTACATCTGTATAAGATGGCTACCGGCTACGTATATTTTTACAAATATATAAATTCAAATGAACTGTTCAACTTGTTAAAATCGATTTCAATGTAATAATAAACTATAAAAAATAAACAAAATAATTGTTTCAGTCTCAAAAAATATTTAAATAAGTATATTGATTTAATGTGATTTCATATATTTGAAAGAAAAATAAAATCATATGAATTTCGGTTTATTCAGTTTGGTTACACAAAAAACACTTACTTTTTGATTTCTAAATGGTAACCAATTGCGTTGTTAACACATTGTGATTTAAACAGTTCGGTTTAGATTCGGTTAAGTTTGGTTTATACGCCCACCTATATAATTTTGAAACTATTTTTCTTGCAGGCATCAGGGAAACACGAGCTGGTTAGATACATATTGTGGATAAGACTGTTTCGTGTGCGCAAAGTGATCGAGTTTTTCCAAAGGCTTGAGAAAGACACAAGAATCAACTATCTCTTCACAAGAATCTTGAAGCTCGTCTTCGTCGAAGTTTACTGTACTCACACTGCTGCTTGCATCTTCTATTACTTGGCCACCACTCTTCCTCCTGAAAACGAGGGTTACACTTGGATCGGTAGCTTAAAGCTAGGAGACTATAGCTACGAGAATTTCCGACAAATCGATATCTGGAAACGTTACATCACGTCTCTCTACTTCGCCATTGTCACTATGGCCACTGTCGGTAAAACAGAGCAAAATTCTAATGATCATTTTGATTAGTTATGATCATTAAGATCTTTATAGGTTTCTTGTTTTTGTTTTTCTTGGCTTAAGGTTATGGAGACATACACGCGGTGAATCAGAGGGAGATGATATTCGTAATGATATATGTTTCTTTTGATATGGTTCTCGGTGCGTACCTGATCGGTAACATCACTGCTTTGATTGTGAAAGGATCAAACACAGAGAGGTTTAGAGATAAAATGAATGACCTCATAAGTTTCATGAACCGAAAGAAACTTGGGAGAGACCTTCGTGGCCAGATTACGCGTCACGTGAGATTGCAGTACGACAGTAACTACACAGATACTGTCATGCTTCAAGACATCCCTGCTTCGATCCGTGCCAAGGTACGCTAATAATTGATTTGCTAATCATTTGCTAGTAGTATAGTAGTAAAATTCATCAATGGATGCTTTTTCTATTTCCTTTGCAGATTGCGCAGTTGTTGTATTTGCCTTATATTGAGAAAATCCCTCTCTTTAAAGGCTGCTCATCGGAGTTTATAAATCAGATAGTTATAAGGCTCCATGAAGAGTATTTTCTTCCAGGAGAAGTAATCACAGAGCAAGGAAACGTCGTGGATCATTTATATTTCGTCTGTGAAGGTTTACTTGTAAGTAAGATCTCGTTGTGTTTTGTGTTTGTGTCTTTGTCTCTTTTATATGTCTCACTTTTATGGCTTTTTATAGGAGGCTCTTGTTACAAGAACAGATGGATCAGAAGAGAGTGTGACGTTTCTTGGGCCTCACACTTCTTTTGGAGATATCTCCATCATTTGCAACATCTCTCAGCCTTTCACAGTTAGGGTTTGTGAACTATGTCATCTTTTACGCCTCGATAAAGACTCTTTCTCGAACATACTCGAGATTTATTTCCAAGACGGACGCAAAATCTTGAACAATCTTATGGAGGTATACTCTCTTTAAAACCCTTTTTATTTCATTGAACTTGGATCATGTATATTGAGAAAATCTTGCAACTTGATCGCTGTTTTTGGCAGGGGAAGGAATCAAATGAGAGGATAAAGAAGCTAGAGTCAGACATTATGATTCACATTGGGAAACAAGAAGCAGAACTTGCATTGAAAGTAAACAGTGCAGCTTTCCAGGGAGATATTTACCAGCTTAAAAACTTAATCCAAGCAGGAGCCGATCCTAACAAAACTGATTACGATGGAAGATCACCACTTGTACGTTTTTTCGCTTATCTTCAATCTCGCTTTTGCTCCACGAAATATTAATCTTTTTGAACCTGTAATTGATATGTCTTCTTCATATGCAGCATCTTGCAGCATCTAGGGGATATGAAGACATCACATCGTATCTTATTCAAGAAGGTGTTCATATCAATCTAAAAGGTAAAAAATGGAAATTTGATATCGAATATAATGGGAAAGGTTACATTGTTGTATGCTTAACGCTTTGCTCATAAATTTGCGCAGATAAATTTGGTAACACGCCATTGTTAGAGGCTGTGAAAACTGGACAAGACAGAGTGATTAGTGTTCTTGTCAAAGAAGGAGCCTCCTTTGACCTAGAAGATTCAGGAAACTTCCTATGCACGGCAGTTGTGAAAAGCGACTCTGATTTTGTTAAGAGATTGCTCTCAAGCGGTATGGACCCTAACACTAAAGATTATGACCATAGAACCCCACTTCATGTCGCTGCCTCTGAAGGATTATACTTGATGGCTAAGATGCTAGTTGAAGCTGGAGCTAGCGTTGTCGCTAAAGACCGGTAAAATAATCATGTTGGAATGAATCATTCAATCATCAAAACCCTAAGCTTTAAATAACTTCATGAATCTTGTATTTGAAGGTGGGGAAATTCTCCGCTTGACGAAGCCAGAATGTGTGGAAACAAGAAACTGATTAAGTTAATCGAAGATGCAAAAACCGCACAGTTGTCTATCTACCCATCAAGCTCTCATGAACTACAAGGTACTCAAATGCTTTCCTTTAGACAATAAAACTCAAAAAAATGGATCTTTTGATACATATGTTGAAAAGCAGAGGAGAGGATCAAGAGACGAAAATGCACGGTGTTCCCATTCCACCCACGCGAGGCGGAAGACGAGCGTAGAAAGCATGGAGTTGTGCTTTGGATCCCAAGCGATCTTCAGAAACTCGTGGTAAACGCTGCGCAAGAGCTTGAGCTATCGGATGAAGCATCCTTTGTAATATTATCAGAAGACGAAGGTCGTATCACAGACATAGATATGATCAGTGATGGACAGAAACTGTATTTGACCAGTGATACTACTGATCAAACATAGTGATTGAACCAACTCCATATCATTTGATTCTTTCGATCATTTCCTACACATGAGTCATTTGAGTTTATATTGTTCTTATAGAGCTTTTTGACGCAACACAATGGATATATACATTGTAGATTATACTGATTCTATCTATTACAAAGGAGAAATGTACTTCATATATATATATATAAACCTATTTTACCATATTAAATATACGTTTAGTAAAAATTTGAACATGGATAAGACTACCACTAGTTTAAGACTGTATTAACAAAGCTTAATACATTGTTGTTGTCTGAAGTGTTTCTGAGCTGCCATACTTCCAGCCTTTGCGGTATCACCAATTTCTTTGCCTGCGTCACTAGAATCGGATGTTTTGGAAGAAGTAAAAAGTTGAAAAATAACGTCCATGACACATCCAAAAAGAGGAATAATAATATGCGAACAGAAATTGGATTTCACTTGATCCATTAATTTAAGGATGTATAGATATAAAGTTATCTTGATATATTTTGTGATATGCAAAAAAAAAAGTATTTGGAGAGCTGCGAGAGAAAAGTGGATGAGATGAAGATGAAAAGTGAAGAGAAGAAAAGTGGGTTTATAATGGGAAGAGACTTAGTCACCAAGAATCACGAATGAATTGGCTTAGCCCCCAAGATTCCAATGTTTTATCGTTCAATGTTTGTATACTTAGTTGAACACTAATTTGTCTTTTACGAAGATTAAATATATTTAACTAACATATGATAGTCATCTTGTAATTTTTTGTTTTGCCGTTTTGCTTAAGGTATGGTTAGATTATAACTAAAATTGTAACCGATAATGTAAACATTCAGATTTATCCGTAATGTATGTGACAAAATTCTTAGAGAACGAAGTTGATTAGTTATATCATCCAACCATATGCATGGCTCTAAAAATACTTCGAATTTAAAAGTTAAACATGTTTAATCTTGAAACAATCATGAAGAATGGGGTGGTTCACACAATTGGAAATAAGCGAGTCCGATGATCTATAGTGAAAAACACAGGTCTAAGAAACTTAAGTTTTAATATTTATAATTGATTTGAATCTATATTAGTTCTCTCTTACATTATAAGATTGTTTCTGAGAAGTTTTACTATATTAGTGAAAATCACAGGGCTCCTCGCACGACGGTGGTGCAGAGTCAACGGCGTCGCTGGTCTCTGCTGTGGAGGAAGGAAGCCTTCTTGCGTGGCCGGTTTCTTCTCCTCGTCCACCTTGTTTTCCTCTCGGCGTTTTCTCTCTCTCTCGGTGGCTGACGTTTTTTGTTTCCACGGTTTCCTCGGGTCTCCTCATGGTCTCTGACTTTTCTTGGTGGTGGTGTGGTGGCTTGCTTCGCCTTCTCCCGATTTAAGACCCTCCAAAGCCTCACCTTCTTTGTCTCGTTTCTGAGGCAGCGGAGTGATGGCGTTGTAGATCTGTCTTCCTCGACTCCAGCGATAGTGTGTGTTTGTCTCCCGGCTAAGGTGTCGCGACATTTCTGATCCAATGGCTGGTCTCAGAGTGGTGGCCCTCGCTTGTTCCAGTTTGTGCAGCTTCACCGGCGGTGTCCTTTGCGGTGGTTTTTTAACTAGTGGCTTGGCAGATGCTCTCTCTCGTCTCGACGATGAAGCTCTTGTGCCGTCTTCCATCGGTGTAGCCTTGGTTCTTCGGCGGTGTGTGTTTGTCCAGCTCGGATTGGCAGACTCTCGTTAGGGTTTTTGGTTTTCGGTTAGAGATGACTCCGTTCGGTGAAGGCGGTAGAGCAAATCAGGTGGAGAAATAGAGGTGCCGGTTTGTTGTTACGGCTACCTTGCAATTGTGGGATTTGGTTCCCTTTGAGAGTTCGGTCTGCGGGAGTGAACGTCGGAGCCCGCTTGGACTCCCTTATCGCCAATTGCCAATTAGTTCATAACACATACCGTGTTAGTTCTCGGAGAAGCTGTAGACTCTCCTCCCGGAGGTTTTGAGGACAGGCCTCGGGAGAAGGCTCGTGGCAACAACAATGCAAACTCTAGCTATTTGAGTTGCGGCAAAAATGAGATGGTCCACATTTTCTTTGCGTGCGATTGGTGTTTTCTCCACTAGTTTGACTCGGGTTTTAACTTTCATATTTTTCTAATCGGATTCTTTCTCTTTTGGTTTTTTATTGTATTCTTATTATTTTTGTTATTTTCTGTAGTTTTTGGTTAATCCACTTTCTTCATTGTATCTGTGTTTTCTGTAAAAAAAATTCAAAAATGGTATAAATCTTACCATTTTACCCAAAAAAAAAATTATGATATTTAATGTTTCAAGTATTGCTTTAAAAATATTACAGAAATGAGAAAACCATAACACCGATGATTTTGATATTATTTCGAAGTATGTTTTTTACGTATACATTTTCGAAGAAGTTGAAATTTCAAAGTAGTGTAGAAATCACGTATGAGTCTTATTATTCCGACAAGGGTATTGGCAAATACACTGTTTAGTACCTGCGATGTCACAGCCGCCATTTGCAGTTGGTCCAAATACAAATTTGCATGCTCGACCACATTTTCCATTAACACTGCACGGTCCAATAAATCTACCGTATATAAAAGTGGGATACCCCATTTTTCTGTTTAACATATTTGTTTGAACTGTTGGACCGTGCAATCTTAGACATTTGCAGTTGGTCCAAATACAAAAAAATTAATAGCACCTGAAAAAAAAATATTGAATTACAATATTTATGATATGTGCCTATGAATAGTGACCAAATCTAAAAATTCTAGCACATAATTATATATGAGTAAAGTTTAAAGATAAACAAATGCATACCTAAGTCTAACAAGTAACCTCACAATCAACTAGAACATTTGGGACATATGCCAATGAATAGAGTTGATGACATCAAAGTAATTGTTTGTGAAAAACAAGAGTTGAATTTCTGAATAGATAATTGTATACCTAAAAACATAACAAGGAAGATGATGGGGAGGACAAGTGAAGAAGCTGCTTTGGCCATTCATGTTTATTTTTCTTCTGTCTTAAATTTGTTACTAATCTATTGAATGGTGATAGATCTGAAAAGTTCAGAGATTAGTGAAAGGAGCTTTATTAAAATATATCTGAGGTGATCAACTTTTAGAAATACAAGTATTTCTTGTAGGTTTGAACTATTTGACTGTATGTATATGGTAGACTGTCTATATTTGACTGTATATTTGAAAAAGTCTTCGTATCTTATTCAAGTATATGATAAAGGTTTAATGAGGATATGCTACGTCAAGTATATGATAAAGGTTTAAAGGTTTAATGAGGATATGCAACCTTATCTTCTTCCCAATAGACATTAAAAAAAAACTACTTATATACAGACCAATCAAGTTTTATAGATGCTTTTAAAAAAATAAATGTTCAGAGGTCAATAAATATGAGAAACTATTTACATACATTTATATTTGGGCTAAATGGTAACCAAGCTCAATTCACTGTAAGTGTATTGTCTGAAGTGTCTCTGAGCTACCAGATTTCCTGCGATCTTGGTATCAACAACAATTTCTTTGCAAATGTCACAAGAACCGGATGTTCTTAAATACGTAAATAGGTGAAAAGAAAGTCCATGACACAACCAAGAAAGTCATTTGAAGATGTAAAGATATCTTAATTGAAATTTTTAAGATGCCAAAGAAAGTGTGTGCGATATGAAGAAGAAAAGAGAAGAGAAGTGTGTTTATATTAATGCGAAAAGACTTTTTTTTTAACATACAATGGTAAGAAACTTAAATTTTTAATTTTTAGACTTTAGAATTGTTTGGTCTCTTTTTGTAAGACAACATTCGACTTTAATTCGAATTTATTTTAGCTCTCTCTTACAACTAAGATTGTTTCTTACAACTTTCATTCATATCAAATGTCTGGAGTATTGCTTTAAAAAGTTTACCAAAAAAAAAAAAAACACCGATGATTTTGATATTATTTCGTTCGAATTATGATTTCTTACGTATACAATTTTGAAGAATCGGAGATCTCAAAGTAGTGCAGAAATCACATACGAATTTTAGCAGGCGGACAAGGGTATCTGCAAGCACACTGTTTAGTCCCTGAGATGTCACAAATGCCATCTGAAGCTGGTCCAAATACAAATTTGCATGCTCGATCACAATATCCAATAACATCACACGGTCCAATATATCTACCACATCCCATATTCTGTTCAACTGCATCAAAACAAAAGCTATATTAATTTTATACTTTGATACATATCAAATAATTTAATAGCACTTATAAAAAGAACCACAATATGATATGTGCCAATGAATAGTGACCGATTCTAAAAATTATAGCAGGTAATAAATGGAATTTTGTTAATATTGATATGAGTAGAGTATATAAAGCTATATGCTACAACATTTGGGACATATTCCAATGAGAAGATCTAGTTCGCTTTAAAAGTATTTGTTTGATCTTCACATTTTACCAAAAAAAAAAAATAGTATTTGTTTGTTGAAAAAAGAGAGTTGAATATAGTTTTATGAATAAAAACTTGCATACCTAAGGAAAACATAACTAGGAAGATGATGGGGAGAACAAGCGAAGAAGCTGTCTTGGCCATTCGTGTTTATTTTTGTTTTCTCTTAAAATTAGGTACTGATGTATTGATGTTGATAGATCTGAAAATTTTGGAGACTAGTGAAAGGAGCTTTATAGACTTATGAGGTGATCAAGTTTTTGAAATATAGGTTTGAAATATTTGACTGAAAATTTGAAATAGTTTTGGTATCTTAGTCAAATATATGGAAACGTTTTTTTATAGAAACTATGATACAGTTTTAATGAGGATATGCTACATCAAGGAAAAATCTCAATGTTATGACTGTCAACTACAATATCTTTAATAGTTATGATTGTAATTATGTTAGGATCATCCAATTTAGGCAATTAGATTTTAATATTTGACCATCTCTGATTTACTTGCGTCCCACGAGTAAGTGTGTAACCTAAGTTTACATAAGGTTACTAATTCAATTTAATCACACTTTATAAGATTTACATTCCTACAGGGGGTATCTTTCTTCACATAATCGTATCTGTGATTTGCAAAGAATGTTATTCTGTACAATTTATCTACTTTGTGAACACCTCTTTATCCTAAAAACATCAAAATGGTTTCTTGAGATACTTAAAAGTCCATTGAAGAATCAACACAATCATTATCATCATCACTCATCATCTTTATGTGTGTTCATCATCTTTAGCAAAGTAGAAAAATTGGATTATGTAATGGCTCAAAATTTGGTTGGTTTCTTCATGTGATATCAAAACCAGGTTAAACCGCAAACCGGGAGTATATCCGAGTTGGGTTGTATCAAAACCCATGAAAAGTTAGATCAATTATAAAACTGGATTGCACCGTCAAAAAACTGTAAAACCGAGAAACCGGCAAACCGCATTAAACCATGCTCAATTATTAAAAAAAGAAGGAAAGAAAAAAAGAAAGTAAACCTTGTCCCTTTGGTGTTTACTTTGTACGCTTGGGTCAAGAGCTTTACTGGTTCTATCGCCGGTCCGGTATTAAAAACATTGACAATTTGATTTACACAATCCGGTTTAGTTCGGTTAAGGATCTACGTTGACTCATCGTCGAGATTTGGAACTATTTGTCTTTCTCTCTCTCGATCGCTCAGCTCGAAACTCTGTTTCTCGGTCGTGCTCGCAATCTCCTCTACAAGTGAATCGCCTGAGGTTTATGTGAGTCGAATCCCTCTCTTTCTCTCGCTCTTTCTCAGTTTATTCCAATACGGTATCTAAAATTATAGACTTGTGGGTTCTCGAGATTGTTCTTACGCCATCTTCTTCGCTTTCTCTAGCGAGCTTCGAGTAAACTTTTCGATTGTTCTTGCTTTTTTCCCTTACATAGTTCATCAGATTCGACTTGTTTTGGTGATCTATTAACCTTTGATGAGTCTTTGGTTCAAATCAGACTAATTTCAATTATCATACCAAACATTTTGATCTTGGTTGATCAGAAATTGTTTGGTATATTGCGTGAAAGCAATCTCAGTGCCTAAATTTTGTTGGAATTATTCAGTGAAAAAGAAATTGTCATCTTTTTTGTCAGTCTTTTAACTCTTAGCTCGCTCATTTACGAAATAACTTTAAAAAATCTTGTCTTTAAGATGAGTTTACAATTACATAAGCAAGCTTTGGCCTTTTGAAGCTTCAAGCATCTTAATAGGAAACATTTTAGTGCTTGAAACATATCAAACATTTTATTCAGGAGGTGTTTGGTAATTTTGTGTGCTTGAAAGTTGTTGGAATTGTTTAGTGATAAAAATCTCATCTTTTTCTCAGGTTTAGCTTGAAAAACCTCAAATTTCTAATATTGTCTTGAGGATAAAGATGAGTTTACAGTTACATAAACTAGCTTTGGATTTTTTGAAGCTTCAAGCATCTTGATGGGTAGATGTATCTTCTTAATAGGGATCCATTGACTGATTTGATATGTGATTTGTTTCTTTTGGCAGAGTATTATTACATATATGCATCTCGCTGAATAAATCCTAGAAAGCCAAAGTTAACTAGTTTAGTTTGTGTCATACTCTGCCAGGCTTGGCCTAATAGGGCTAATTGACTGATTTGATTTGTGCTTTGCGTCATTTGGCAGAGTATTATTACCTATATTCATCTGGCTGATCAAACTTTATAAAGCCACAAGCAACAAGTGTAGTTTGAGCCATACTCTGCCACCAATGGTGGATGATACCTCGTCCCAAGCTTCACCTGAACCGCCACCACCGCCGGTAAGTTTCCCCTTACTCCTAAGATTAATGTCATTCTAAGTCACAGTCTTGCTAAATATATTGCTGGTTGTGGTGTATACTAGTTTCTGGAGGTGTTTTGTGAGGTTTCTGGTAAGGACTACCGATTCTCAGCTGGGACGAAAGCGGAATTTGCTGTCTCCGTGATCAATAGGAAGCTTGGTTCATTAAAATCCCGAGTGGTTTACATCGAAGCAGCAAAGGAAGGTGAAGAGCCCATCAGTTTTGGGGATGGAGCTTATCTTGCGGATTATGGACATGGTTGGAAGTTGAAGACAGTGGTTGACGCTGGAATTCCTGGTAATTAAGTTCTTTTCTGATTTCAGGATTTTGGATTCAAGAACATGTCTGCTCTTTGTGTAACCTTGGTTTCAATGTTCTTGTTTTTGATTAGCTGAATGCTTCTCATGTTGTTATATTTGCATAATTGTGAATTTGAAGCGTATGAGTTCTTGATCTCTTTCCAATCTTTCTTCTTGATCCAGGAACTGAGACAAAGAATGTTCTTCAGCGTCATCTACCTAGGCAGTTTCCTTCTGTTTCGTTCTCTAGTCCTCCTGTTTCATCATCGGTAAGTATCTTGAGTTTGTTAGTTCCTCAATACTTTACGCTTAGTTACTATTCAATGTCAAAACTTAAGTAGAGGGAAGAGAAACTTAAGCCGTTACTGATAAAAACTTTTTCCCTTATTCTTAAAGAGCTTGTTATTCTCACTTAACGTTCTCTAAAGCTCAGTTTCTAGCTTTGGACTTATATTCGGTTTCAAATCTCTTAGCTTTTTGTTCTGTGATTTACAATTTTGTGGTTTGGTTTGTAGGGTTCCAAAGACTCAAAGTCCCCTAGAGCTGAGAAACCAGAATTTGAAGGAGATCAAAGTCTGAAATACATTGGGAGAATATTGGTTGCATTTGTTTTGATGTTTATTCTTGGTGGTCTTTTCACAATGGCTCTTGAGAATCTTCCTAAACTAATTTTGCTATTTAACAATTCTTCTTCCATGTAACAATTGACACTCTCCCAAATACTAAGACATTTTGGAGATTAAGGTTGTTATCTCTATCACTCATTTGGCCAGCGCTAATTACAATAGATTTGTTAAAATAGATATAGTTTTATAAAATAAAGTTAATACTTGTAAAAATAAGGATTACTTGGTAAGAAGAACTAATTTAAGAATAGAAAAAGAGGAAATGTTTAACTTGATTAAGTAGTAAACAAAACGTAAACTCCATCTTGGATACTAATGATCTTTTAGAGTTGGAAAATGGAGTTTGGAATAAAAGATGGGAAATGTTTAACTATATAACCCTATTTCATATTTTATTCTTAACTCAAATATATTTTAAATTTTCTCAAATTTTCATTTTATTTTTAATTTTAAAATAGAGTAATGAGTACATTTCATATTTAGATAGTATTAGAAAGTAATATTTTTTAGTTATGTAGTTAACTAAGTGATAGAAAAAGTTTAAGAACAAAAATTATTCTATTAAAAAAATAATGAAATAGATATCTAGTGAACTAAATATCTAAAATGCAACAGTAATATATCTTATTTTATAAAGTTAAATAGTTCAAAATCATTAATTTACTTGATGGCAACACTTGCCAGAACAAGGAAATGCTAGATAATTCTGTGAATTTTCTGGTAAATAATCAAACAATATTTTCTCTACTAATTTGTTTTTCAGTTGCTGCGATAAATTTAAATAGTGTATTTATAAGTATGAAAAAAAATTAAACGATCTTTATAATGAAGTGGAGAGATTAGTTGGTTCGAAAATATGTAAACGTTATCTAGATACATCACACATTAATAGTGGTGGCGTGGATCTCTAAAGTGTGTATTCAGTACTAAATGCTCTTTGATATATATATATATATATATATTTTTTTAAAAAGATTTTGATTATAAATACATTTTTTTTACAATAGTAAATGAATAATATAGACAACTATTAATAAATAATATAAAAATTTACAATAATAAATGAATAATATAGACAACTATTAATAAATAATATAAAAATTAGTGAACGCTACAGGGATTCTACAACTGTTATTGTTCATCATAAAAAACCACTTTACTTCTATAAATGTGAAAGGTAAGCTATAGATAGAGAAAATGTTTACGTATAATTGAAAATTTATTAAAAATAAATATTTAATATAATTAAAAAATTATTTTATCATCTTTATCTTTATCTTCTTTTACTCTTCATTTTTCTTCATTTTTGTTTTTCTCTCATCTTTCTCCACTCTTTCACTCTCCATCTCTCCATTTCAGCTACTTGATTATCTTCTTTTTCTATTTTCTAGCTTGAATCCCTTTCATTCTGCTCAGAACAAAGGCTTCCTCTTAGTTATTCGAGTTAACTAAAGAAAATTTCATCTTCCATTGATAAAAGAGTGTGATGGTTGGAAAAATTTACATCTCTGAATGTATATTTAATGAAGGATGAAAACCAACGCTTGGTTTTTTTTGGTGTGATGATGATTAGTTTTCTATCTAGATCTGATTTTTCTTGTGATTTAAAATTTGGATATTTGTCATAGTCATTAATCTAGTTATCCGTGTCCATTGTCGATGATTTATTGAAAGTCAAATGGCGACGTTGCGGTTCTTCTTCGCCCATAGGAATCTATTTCTATTGGTGGGTCTCTAGCTAAATCTGATTTTTTGTGCTTTTTGATTTAGATAGTCGATATTAGTTGTTAAACTAGTTATCCGTTTAACTTAAACGTAGGCTTAACTCGTTGTTGTTATCGTTGCATTTTTACTTCATTTTTTTCTTTAATTATATAATCAAACAATTGATTAAATTCGATAACTATTGGTTTAACACATATATATTAAATTTCAGATATTATTGTTAGTATGTTAGTAGTGTCAGATATTATTGTTTAGCACAAAAATATTCTCTATAATAACTGAGTTAACAATATAACAAAATAAATATCTGCTAACAATATATATATATATATATACTAGGTTATCTGTAAACTTGAACTTCCAATTGATATCATTGTTAGCGTTAACATCCATAATATAGATGTTAACTTATGTCATGTTAACAAAATAAATATTACTAACTTTTACAAATTTTGCAAGTTGCGGTTTGAGGTTAAGAACTTGAAACGATCATACAAACTAAAATATAATTAAGCCCTGAAGAGGAAGATCTCTGATGGAGTGATGATGAAAAAGATATAACCTTGCGTACATATGATTCAGAAGAGTTCCTGACGGCCAAAACAAACGCCAAGAATTGATGGTGAAGAGGTTAGAGCTGAAGAAGACAGTCAAATAAATGTATTAATTGGATGTGTTAAATCATGATCTTGTTTTAAAGTTAAAAATTAGTTTGTTAACTCAGACTCCAGAATGTATGTTAACAGAATATGTTAACCAAACTATGTTAACTTGGTTAGCATACTATGTTTTTAAAAAAGTTTGTAATAGTTTGGCTAAAAGTATGTTATGTTGGTAACAACCACACATGCTAATTGTGTTATCTTTCCAATAGTTGTTAAATCGTAACTGATAACATTTGTAACTGCTAACTTTCATTGTAAACACAAAAACATCACGACAACGAACACAACAAAGAACTAGAGATTTAGTGAATTATATATTTATAGAAAATATTAACACTAGTCAGATAACTAGATTAGCGCATTATATGCTTAATTATTTTGATATATTTGTTAGCGTATTTTTAAGATGGAATCTAAATCTCGTAGGACCCACCAGCTTTTAAAATAGGGGCAATTATATTTATAAGACAAAAAACCTGTAGTATTGTCCCTTTAATACTTTTTCAAACTTTACCACTTTTAGACTTATATACCATTTTCTTATAATTACGAAAATTAAAAATAAAACTAATTTTCTAATTTGACCAAAAAAAACTAATTTTCTAATCTAAAAATTTTGAGAAAATTCAGAAAATAAAAGACAAATATATTTTGTACTACTTTTTTGCAAACAAAATTTTTAAAATAATTTTACAAATGTTCTACAAATTAATAGAAAGCATATTCTATAAATCTATAAATTTGTAGAATAGGTTATTTACTATTTCATTAGTTTTCTACGAAATATATAGAATTCGTTATCTACCGTTTTCTCTATGTTCTACAAAGTTATGAAACCGTATTCTACAACATGTTCATTTTTCTACAGTTTAGTAGAATTATGTTTCTATAGTTAACCATTTGTTCTACAACTTATTAAATTTTCATTTCTACATTAAACTCTTTGTTCTACAATTATAGAATAGTAATTCTATAAAACGGTTAACTAAATCTCCGAGAATCTAGGATGAGGTGTAGAAAATCTACATAATATATCTCTTTCTTTTTTAAATTATTTTATTTCTTAAATTATTTTAAAAAAAAATATTTTAGAAATTAAATTTTGGCGATAATTTTTTCTTCTTTCCATATCTTCACGTTTTTCTCATCATTCAACATACATCTTTTCATTTTTTTCTTTTGATTTTTGTTCTAATTACCGGAGTAAAGATTCGGTGGAAACTACATAGACAGAGAAGTTATCGGCGTCAAAATTTTTTTTTTCTTCGTCAAAGTTAGAAAATGGTAAGAGACGGATTCTACAAATTTTTTTGGGTAAATATAATTTTTTTTTTTACTTTTTTGTTTTAAAATTTAATCTGATTAAAATTATATACTAATAATTTTTATTATTCTGTGTAATTTCTATTTAAAAGATAAAAAGATAAATAATTTGTAGAAGTATTAAGGGAACAATTTCTAAGATAAAAGTATTAAGGGAATAATAGTAATGTTTTTTGTCATATATTTTTAATTATATCTTTTAAATATGTGTCAGATAACATAAGTTTTGTTCTCAAAAAAGCTTTGCATTTTCTCGATTCATTAAATACGATGTTAGATAATATTTTGCCTAAGATATCGATGATATCAGTAAATATAGGGGCAATCGGAAAATAAAAGTTTTACATCATTTTTTTACCTAATTTTTTTTATTACTTTGTATTTTCTTAATGTTTTGGTCAACGTTAATTTATACCTAAAGAAATACAAACTAAAATCAATAAAATTATAAGCCATATACTAAACAATTGAAAAATCTTCATGCAGATCTCGATGCCTGTTCAGTGAGTATTTAAGACGAAGTAAGACGAATAAGACAAAAGTTCTGAATCACCGAGTATTTTAAAGGGAAATTAGGTGGAAGAGCATGTTTCAGAGACCAAATTTACATTATTATTTTATTAAGTTTAATGGGTGAGAAATTACCCAGCACCCCATAGTCTTCTTTTTATCAATGGTAGTCGATATAAACTTCTAACACTGCAAACTTTTATTGTCTGACAATGTAAAATTTTTTGAACAAAAATTTCTCTTTCTTATTTAGTGAATTTTCGTCTACATATACACATCTTTCTCTGTCTTGTATTTGAATTACAAATTCAAATATTGGCTGGGTATTGTCTCTCGATATCCTCCATATTTTCTCTCTTTTTTTTTTCCGAAGCTTCTTCGACGGGAATATTCACAAGGCGAAATTCACTACCCCCGTTTCATTCCACCGCCGCAGAGTGACCGGTATAATATTCAATCTCAGCTTTTACTTCGTTTAGTAAGAACATATTTTCTGGTTTGGTCGTTTTCCACCAAATTTCATCTCTGTAATTATAGATCTATCATTTTGATGATTCTTAGAAACTCCTAAACTAGTTCACGGTCAGATCTACTTTCTGATACAGTTCTGAATAGTTGTTCCCGTACCTTTTAGTAGTCAACTAACAATATCTGTCTACTGATTATCCAGCATGGCCAACATTCCAGTAGTTCATACTACAACCTCCGTAAACGATGTTCTTCTCCAGATTCAGGATGTTCTGCTCGATATTTTGCTAGAAGTAGCTAAAAAAGCTCTGAAGGACGCTGTGTCTTTCGGTTGTTCATCTAGTACCTTAAATCGAATCCTGAAAAATCCTGCTGTCGTGAAGGTGATCAACATCGCCTCGTTCGTTAAAGATCCCACTTTAATGAATCGATACCCTTTTTTCTTCGAGTCAGCTATCAATTCCGGAAACCCTATTGCCTTGTACCTCCGAGGTATGTCCCAGGTCATTGTTGATTTCGATGTTTTAGGTTCCCTTACTTTCTTCAATCAGGCATCCAAGGGGGATGTTGACGCGGCGACTCTAATGGCTGCAATATGTGCCACTGCATGTGGTCACTATCCGTTCGCACTAGAGATGTTAGACCGTATAGATCGGTGGAGAAACCGCATGTGCCACATGATTCAGATTGGTGATGATGTGATGGACACAGCAAAATTAATGGTAGTTGATGACCGATGCAAGTTGCCTCAGGTCTTGACTGATTTTCCCAGATGTCATTGGAAACATCACCTCATTTGCTGCGAGCTGTGCTACCTGTACACCCAGTACCAAACTGCCAGATTCGTGTTCGATCCAAGATGTTAGATTTGTGTTTGATCTTTAATTTTCTGTTGCTTATATGTACTACCCTGAACTAATCCTTTTTTCTGTATCAACTACTAATATGTGACTATGTAATGTGTTCTCAGTAAGGACGTTGTATGTTCTCGTATTTCTAGTTTACTTCCTTTGTTTGTGAACTAGGTTCTTTCAATTATAGTCTTCTATATATTCATTTTGTAGTCGCTTATTTTTTGTATTAATAGTCCGCTATGATTCGTTACCTATTCCGACGGAATCAGGGAAATAACTTGAATAGCATTGTGGAAAGTCATAAATATCTCTATTTTTCTGTTCACCATAGACTCTTTGAGTAACACTAACATAGCGGTTTCTTCTTTGAGCGTGACAACTGCTTTTTGCTTTGGGAACCGCTAAAAATTGAATTTAAACCAAAAACTTATTCCAACCATCATTTCAAGTCTGCAACACATTTCTTCTCCTTTTATTTTCGTAGATGAACGCACAACCGTTTCGTCCTCTTTCTTTTCGATTTCTTTTCCTCTCGGTTTTCATTTAATTCAATAGTAACTCTCCCAGAATTACCAAAACCCTATTAGTACCAAGTCTGCACTTCATCTACACTGCACCGCTTAACACCTCATCCTCTTCTCCTGTTACCAGTGTAAGTCCTAATCTATCTTCCAGTTCAAAATCTTCTACACACACTGTTTTCCATTCGATTTTCCCAGTTTTTTTTTATCGTGTTTGAGGGTGATGCTAATTTTTTGTGTTGTCTGACTTGTATGTCTTTTACTATCTAGGTAGACCGCTTCCTATAGTTCAATATTATAGAAATTGTCAGATCTATATTTTGTGTAATAGCGTACTTATGCGCATCCGTATACAATAGCCAACTATTATTAGTGGACCACTTTCAACAACCGTCTACCCTGTAAGATCTACATATAATAGCTGAGTATCAGTTATTGCATTTTTTGATTTTAGTTGTCTTTCCAAACATCAGCACATCCCAAATATAAAAGCCGACTATCATTAGTGGACCACATCCAATCGATGGTTATCCTTATGGTCACATATATTATAGTTGACTATAATTAGTTGCATATTTTTGACATTGTTCCAATATGTAGAAAGCTATTAATAGTCACATTGAACAAAATATGTAGCATATTTTGACATCAGTAGTCATCTGCTGTTTTCAATAAGTAACCATCAGTACATCCATAGGTGGAGTCGCATCTAACACCTACAATACTCGTTTATTGTTTTGCAGTCATAACTCGATGAGTCCATTCCCGAAGAGGTTCTTCAAGTTCGGCTATGAACCTCCAAACAAGAAGGTAAACACGTACTTCCAGCTGAACTACCTCGATGCTATTACCTTCGCACTTGAAGATGACCAGATAGACAAGCTTATGGACTCCCAATTTGGGAAACTTTTTCAAGCTGGCAACAAGATCGCATCTTCCGTTAGGTTTCTCCACTTTCTGCTGTCTAGGCAACTCGTTACCAGTAAGAAGAAAGAGATATGGTGTCTTTTCTCTGGTCAGCCAATTCGTTTCTCGATGAGGGAGTTTGCTATTGCTACTGGTCTGGATTGCTCGACTCTACCTTCGACATCTGAAGGTGACGATGATGAAATCAAGAGTTACACTAAGCAATTGTTTGGGTCTGAGAAAAATGCAACTCCACTTTGGATAGCCAATACTCTTTTGGGCAGGCCGTACAAGGAGAAAGATATCAGATTCAAGCTTGCTTGTCTACTACTAGTTGACGGGATAGTGTGTCCCACCTCTAAGAATACAAAAATTAATGGGGATCATATCTTGATGGTTAGAGATGTTGATGAATTTCTCTCCTATCCTTGGGGTCGCAAATCGTTTGACATCACCATGGAAAGCATCAAAACGAGAACTGCTACTCTGTCCAATCTCTGTCAGCCGACCTGTGCGATTCAGGGCTTCTTACACGCTCTTCAAATGGTGGTTTTAGCTTGCGTCCCCAACTTGTTGTCTAAGAATGTTAAGGGGAAGAAACCAAGCTTAGCTGATGATGATGAGGACGACGATGATTTCCCATTACTACGCCCCGGTGCCCAGAAACCAATTACACTTCAGATGAATCATGTTAGAATGGTTGACAAAGACGATAAGGTACCCAACTAATTTATAGTCAACTACTTCATGTACATGTAAATCATACTGTTAGAAAATAGAACACTAAGAGTAGTTGACTACTATTACTAGGTCGTTGTAAAACACATCCTTGAAGATGAGGACTCAGTCTCGACGAGGAGGATATATTCCACCCAGATGAAGACGAGGACTCGAAGGTGGAAAAGTTGATGAGTGCCATTGAACATGGAACTGCATTCACCAACAAGTCCTTCGTTGGCGGAGTGAAGGCATCCGAACATAGTAAGCTGCCAAAGCATCCATCATCCTCAACATCACGAAAACCCGCATCTGATGGGGATGACCACCTAGATTCTGGTGCTTCAGCATTTTTAGAGAAATTGCTTGCTGGAAATTCCAGCATTTTTAATGCGGTTAACACACTTACATCTGATTTTCGGCTGATTCGCCGTGATGTGAAATCGGCAGTCAATGAGCTAGCTTTTTTATGCACCGAGTTCACTAAATTCAAAGAGAGGAGTCGTCCTACTGAGACCTTGCCCGTTAAAACCTCAAACAAAGTTGACAGAGAAGAACAACAAAAAGATAACCAAGGAACTAACGATGGTGATCAGGAAAAAGATAACCAGGGGAATGAAGAGGAAGAAGATAACGCAGCGGACCAGGAAGGGGAGAAACAAGTGTATGAACAGAAAACCGGTCATGGTGTTGACGGTTCTTAAGTTGCAGATGAAAAAGAAGTTACTTTCACCGATGAGGCTACCAAGGCGACTAATACGATTGATGAAGTACTTCAAGATTTAAATTCCTGTGATCTGGGGGTAGATGAAAGTACAAATCTCCCAGTTTCGTCCATTCCTGTAACAGATCCAAATATACATGTACGCAATAGTAGTATATAAATGACACCGTCTATTTATAGTTATATAGTCGATAGTCAGATATTTGACATATTGTTAATTCCTATTGCTTTACAGGAGACAGAGGACATTGCAGACGTCCAAGATCCAATTCCCGAGCCCGCAAATACAAAGGTTTCTATTCGTCTACTAGTAGTCACCTATTTATAAAAACACTTTACCTAGACAATTGATTTGTATATAAATGACACCGTCTATTTATAGTTATATATTCATAGTCAGATATTTGACATATTGTTCATTCCTATTGCTTTACAGGAGACAGAGGACATTGCAGACATCCAAGATCCAATTCCCGAGCCCGCAAATACAAAGGTTTATCTTCGTCTACTTGTAGTCACCTATTTATAAAAACACTTTACCTAGACAATTGATTTGTATATAAATGACACCGTATATTTATAGTTATATATTCATAGTCAGATATTTGACATATTGTTAATTCCTATTGCTTTACAGGTGACAGAGGACATTGCAGATGTCCAAGATCCAATTCCCGAGCCCGCAAATACAAAGGTTTCTATTCGTCTACTAGTAGTCACCTATTTATAAAGACACTTTGACCATGTACAAAGTTTGTGATTTTTCAGGTTACCGTTGACCATGATGACTCAAGTGTTGATAATAAGTAATCGATTATTAACATGTACAAAGTTTGTGATTTTTTAGGTTACCGTTGACCATGATGACTCAAGTGTTCCTATTTTTGTTTCGGATAAAGAACAGGTATGTAGCCAACTACTTCATAACTACCTATCTTTTAAGTTTACATCTGACTAGTTTGTATACGAATATTATTAGGTACTATTGAAGCCAATAGTAGACGATCCTCCAGCTTTTTCACTAGGTCTAACGCAGGAAGAGAAAAACCGTGAGGAATCTCGGCTAAGAGAACAAGAGGACAAGAGAAAAACGGATGTTGGAGATTCTTCCAAATGTCCTCCTCCAACACGTAAAAGCACGCGCGCCAGAGCTGCAGCTACATCTGCAGACTTTGTTTACCCTCAAAAACGGCAGAAAAAGATCGACAAATCTGTAGAGTTGTCTTCTTTCTTTCGTAGACCGACCTCCGAACAAGTATCCTTCCTTGAAGCCAAAATTAAAGAAACCAGGTCAGTGTTTAGTATTGAGGTTCTTTAATCTTTTCACCAAGACGAGTTTATATCTGACCAAGTTGATATTTGTTTACTTTGTTTTTGTTAGCCTTTTCCCTCCCTGGTATGGCATTAGCCTTTCTTCGAACATCTTTAATCAGATAATGTCTTGTAACAAGCCAGTGAGCCCTTTGATGAGCTAAGTAACTACTGTATATGTTTAGTCGCTTACATATTTACGAATTTATCTGTCTACTAATAGTTGTATATTTTTAAAATAGTGCATGAATGCCATAGTTGCCTCTATTCGTGATGAGCTGTGGGCAACCAGAGAAGCTCATCCCATGAATTACGATTTCGTTGAGTTCAGATTAATCGTCGAAATTGTCAGGCTTCATGATCAATTTCTATCAAACTCGAAGAAGGCCAAGATTACCCTGCCCAAAGGTACCATATCATACGTCAAAAACAGATTTCCTTGGTACACTGTAGTCGGTCGTCTCTACTGTCTCTTCCAGATTGATGGTAGGCTTTGGATTGGTCTTTGCATCGATTTGGAGGCACACAATATAGCTGTTTTTAATTGCAACCCAACAATTAAGGAGATGAAGCTTAAGACCCTCATAGTACCACTTGCCGAATCTCTTCCACACTTCATCAGGAAAGTAGCGTACAACTCAAAGATGAAGAACGACACCCTAGACGCATTCAACATTTCAATTGCTAAGCCTGTTTTCCAAACAGCAAATCCAGGTAATTAACTATTTGTAGACGGTTATTTCAAATTTGTGATGGTGTTGTTTTCCTAACTACGAGTTTCATTTGTAGCAGGTCACAGCGCCGTACTTACACTCATGCTACTTCAGCTCCACTCAGAGAACATGCCGGTCGACACTGTCATTGAAGACGATTTGGTCCGTGATGCAGCTCTTACCTACGCTTTCGACCTACTATGTAAAGTCGAGCAACCAATTTCATCGGCCCCGCCGACTAATCCCTGAATCTGCCTTCAACATCATTTGGCGCATGTTCCTTGTATTAATCCCTTGTATTAATTATGTTTTTAAAACAATTCTCCCCTTCTTTCTTCAACAAGCTTATGGTACTTAACAGACATGCAAAGTTCATTATGGTTAACTTTTTTTAGTCATCTATCTTCTTGCTATTCCCACTACATTCAAGTTTTTCACAGATATCATGGGAACCCCTTTATCATCTTTTTTCCCACTACATTCAAGTTTTTCACAGATATCATCTCTTTTATCATCTTTTTTTGCACTACAAGGAACCCATTTGTACCTTGTACATATTACTCATGCAGACATGACCAGATCCCCCATTCAGATAGTCGCTGTCATTAGTGTTGCAAATAGCTGCCTATCAATAGGTGTTTAGATTTATATTGTTTTACTCTGTTTATCTTCTGCTCGATCCATTAATACCATAATAAGTCATCAAATACTTCGATTCACCCCTTCATATATATATATATATATATATATATCTATTATATAGTCAACTAATCAAATATATCCAGATTACGTCTTTACCTTAAACTAATCATATTTTAGTTCTTCAATTTCCAAATTTTAAGAGACTAAACCATCAAAGCACATAACACACGATAGATAAGGGAGTCTCTTAAACGACATTAAGCAGTTCAAAATCAAAACATAAATCCCAAAAGTAGAGCAGCCACAACAAAAATGTCTGAAAATAAAAACAAAACACAATAAAGGTCCACCTGTGTTAACCAAAATAAGGACCATTTCTTCCGAAATCAACAAACACCTACTCTCCCTCAGTAGCTAAGTACACCACCGGTTCTTAACTGTTCATTTTTCCTTCACCGGAAGTTTGCAGGATGCTCTGTTGTGACCACGACCAAGACACCTTGTGCAAAGCCTGACCGCTTTCTTTTTCGAACGTCTCTGACTCACAAAATAAAAAGGCAAAATTTATTCGAATACATGGTAGACAACTACTTATTACAAAAAACAAACTTAGGTAACTGATTTCGAACCTTGAATTCGCCACGAGATGGGATCCTGGTTTTTCTTGGACATCCAGGTGGTCGGCGCATTATTGGAGGAAGCAGTTCAGACTCACCAGTACTTACAGGTGTTGGTACTGGATGGAAAACCCCCTCGTACAGCGATCTCATAAAAGCTGTGGTGTATACTTCTCCGACAAGGTTATTGTTATCAATCTGACCGTACGAGCTGGCAGCCAATGCGTGGCAACAGGGTATAAGTAGCATTTGGAACTCTCTGCAGCTGCATATTTTGGACTGCAGATTCACTTCAAACCTAACTCCACTCGGGTCGTAAACTTCAAACTCATTCTGGTTTACCACGATCACCTAAAAATTACAAATAGTCTACTATCAGTATGCAGCTACATGGTACAATATCTGACTTATAATCATCTAACTATAGGCTATTATTAATAGACGACTACTATTCACGACTATTACCTTCATTTTGGTGCTTTCAAAAAGGATTTCGTCCATGATGTCTCGCACTTTACTTGTCAGGGGATGTATCTCAGCAGCGTGTTTAGCCCTTCTCCTTACAAACCAGCCCATGAGGCTCATCCGTATTGCTTCAAGCATGGAAATTAGGGGAAATTCCCTACATTCTTTCAGTACCTTGTTCAGCAACTCGGCGACATTGGTTGTCATGACATTGTAGCATTGTCCGACAGAGTATGCTCTCGTCCAGTGTGGAATCCCCAACACTGTTAAGTACTCGACACATGCCGGGTTAACGCTTCACAGCTCGCCAAAAAGTTGGCCGAACTCAAACACCGTATAAGCCTTTGCTGCTAGGACCATTAATGCATGCAATCTACTCTCTTTAAATCGGTTTGTCACGTTCCTCGCTAGATGCATTAAACACGCACCATGCCCAGCGGACGGGTACACCTTAAGAAAACACGATTCATATGTTGTAGTCAATTATAAGTAGTCAACATTTATATCGAATATAGATTCATAAATGCAAACGAAGAGTCAATAAATAACTATAAGTAGTCAATTACATAATGTGTAGTTACCTTTCTCAGTCCCGAGTAGATTGATGAGTGTCTATCGGAGATGAACATCACTCTTCTGTCATTCTTTATGATCGTCTGCAGACACCTGAAGAACCATTCGTAGGCTGCATCATTCTCGCTGTCAACGACGGCATAAGCAATAGGGAAGATTTGGAAGTTCCCATCTTGCCCACTCGCACAAATAAGACATCCACAATAACGCCCAACAAGGTGTGTGTCGTCAAGAATAACGACAGGCCTTAAATACGGCAGTCCGGCAATGGAGGCAGCAAATGAGATAAACATATACTTGAACCGCTTGGATCCATTTTTATCCAGCTGGAACTCTGTTTTGCAAACAGTGCTCGGGTTTGAGGTCCGCAGGTTTTCAAGATACAATGGGAGTAATGAATAACTCCCGGACACAGATCCAAAAGCCTTCTCTACAGCAACTTCCCGGTATCGCCATGCTTTCCAGTAGGAGACGTTTACCTGGAACTCCTGTAGCATGATTCGCTGAATCTCTATAGGACCCGGTCCTTTTTGGCCTGCGACAAACCTACAAACAAGATAGTGTACAAGTAAGCGATTACATGCAAACTTTAAACCGAGAAATAGACTATAATATATAGATAGATACCTTGTTTGTATTAATTCCCCTATGACCTGTGTTGTTGCTTGCTTGTGGAATGATAACACCGGATTTTGACCATTTTTATGGATCATTTTAATATCTTTTACAGGTGTTTGTACTCCATTTTCAAAGGTTTTCAAAGGATTTCTATGTTTCCAGATTTTAAAAGACTTTTCAGGTAATTTGGGATAAAGAGGCACAAAATGGAACAAAAAGACTCTTTTGGATAAATGCAGACCGTCAGAACTCTCATGGAGAGACGAAGACCTTCTCACCGTCTGATCACCCTCAAAATTGGACAACTTATAGAAGAATCAGCCAGCTTTCAAATGCACTTGGTTTGGAGACATTCCAACGGTTGGATCTCAAGATATTCCATTAGCCCCGGAGCCACTCGAAGTCGGTCAGCAACTCACGCGACCGCGGCTAACAAGCTATTTGCCGCGGTCAGAAGCTTCCCGACCGCGGCCAACAAGCCAATTGCCGCGGTCACAACACTCCCGACCGCGGCAATCAATCTCCGAGTTAAAGCCCACTTATCTGAAGCCCAAAGTCATTCTCAGCCTCAATTCCGGAACCCTAGAGACCATGGAGTATTGGAGACTATAAATACATGTCATTTAGGTCGTTTTTAGACACAACCCTTCATACTTTACAGAAACCCTTTTCCTTTAGCCGTTTTTTATGAGATTTTTGTAGAAGATTGTTCAAGTCCGAGTTCTTCAATAGAGAAGCTTTCTTTATCTCTTTTCTTTACTGTTTTTCATTACTTTTATTAAAACCAATAATGATGTCGAACTCAGCCATGTCTAAGTAGATCCCGAGTTGGGCTTAGGGTTTCCGAAAGGGGCTCTCATAATCGATTAAGACATCTAGGTTTATAGATCTGGGATTTCGACCTGTTCTCTGTTTATTCTTGTTCTTATTGCATGTATGCTTGATTGATCACCTAGTATCTGATCTAGATAGTTAGTGTTGCGAAAGTTTTCATTAAGTATCAGCCCTAGAATGAAACAGGCGATTTTTCCGTAGGAGTAGAAACCTACCTGCGGCGAGATCGTGAGTATTGACGAGTCTTGTGCAGCTCTTGCGTTCTCTCCCTTCCAGGGCCAGAGTGGAAACCTACTGGTCAGGGTTGCGAGAAACAGTTGGTTATGATCACGACAGTGACGTAGTCATACCGCCGTACTCTAGCTCTAGAACCCATATATCGTTATCCGTCAATCCCAATCTATCTACCTTAGTGTTAAAACCGATTATGATCCCTTAGAGTTCCCAAAAGCTCAGCGTTTTAAGCCATAGTTTACAATTCCATCGATTTTTACTTGCTTTCTTAGACCTGCATTTCAATTTCCTTATTTCATTATTTACTTGCTTTATTTACCTTTCATGCGATATTTTACTTGCCTTATTAGTCTTTCATTCGATATTTGCTTATTCTAATTGCATTTCATTCGATTTTCTTACCTGCTTTTTAGGATAGATTTATTTGCTTTCTTTTGTTTTAGTTTAATTCGCAAGAAAAACAACCAACCTTTAAAACCAATTTAGTCTAGACATAAAGTTAAAAAAAAAAAAACCGTAGAAGAATACCAGGCACACAAATCTCTGTGGATTCGATCCCTAAATACTACAACTGATTAGCTGTGCACTTGCGGCTTTCATTTGTTTTGTTAAGGGTAAAACTTGTTCCCTCATGCAGTTGACACGACCATCAAGTTTTTGGCGCCGTTGCCGGGGATTTGTTTCGCTGCCTTTTGCTATTTTTCTTGTTTTAACTTCTATTCTAGACACCTGATCTCTAGTTCTTTCTTAAAGTTTTTCTGAACTATCTTTCCCTTCTTTTGTTTTTCTCTGAATTGCATGAATACCAGGCGTAGACCTGCAGGAGACCTTCCAATTCTAGACGAGATAGACAGACACGAAAGAGAACTTCGAAGAATTAGACGAACGCAAGGAATGGCCAACGACGACCAGCCTGGAGATCCTATTAATCGAAATTTAAATATGGACCAAGACGGGTCCGAACATGGAGAAAACGAAGAGAATGATCACATAGAAGGTGATCATGCTCGACAAGATGGAGAGGAGGATGATGTTCTTCCAAGAAACCACCAGAACCGAGAGAGAGAAGGACGTGAAGACCTTGATCCACCCATCAATGCAGCCGATGGTGACCACCCAGCAATGCAGCCGAATGAAAGCATTCACCGCCCCATTCCGCCAGCAAATCAACACCGAAGACAAGCCAGGAACCATCGCATAGCTGATTTTGATGCACCTACTCAAAATTTTCAGAATCGATCTGCAATTCAAGTACCATTTCCAAAC